TTTGTGTGAACACCTTTGCAAATGTGAATATTTTTTATGTAATAATCCATAATTTTATTGATTGGAAATTATTTTAAAATATAACAAATCGTAAGTCTAAAATGATTCGTTCTTCGAGTAAAATGTTCTTAAAAAACTTTTTTGAATTAAAATCAATGCTCAAATTTTCAGAAAATTAATATCAAGGTTGACAAATATCATGATATTTATATAAATATGAAATATCGGATATATATCATTGATATATATCATGCCAACCGTGCTTAATATCGAGAGTACCACTAGGTACTGATTTAAGATCCATAAACCAATACTTTTTCCCAGAAAAATTTTCAAAAAATTCGGAAAACAGGAAAAATTTATGCCACTATGTTTTAACAGATACCTAATCATAGAGATTTCCCTTTAAGTAAATTTGCATAATATTTTTTTCTCGGCGTGTTTTTTAGTTTGGTTTTCTGTTGAAATTTGATTAGACCATATTTAGTAATTTTTTTTAAGTTATATTGAACTAATTGTAAGTTACATTTTTTATAGTTTTAAATAAAATAAGACATTTATCTTTTGTTAATTTATGTTCGACCTTGACTAAAACACGATTTGAGAGCCTGAATATATAAATTTTGTCAAAATATGTTACCAAGAAAAAAATTTTATTAAAGATTTCTTTACAGATGCTTGTATTTTGAGTTTCTTCCATATTACCAATTTTTTCAATATTTCAAAACTCATTTGAGATCAAATTAAATTAAATTTCTGATCACGAACACCGCTCTGTGTCACAGAACCTTCAGATTTTTTTCAAAAGTGGGAGCAATTGTGAGAATTTCGACAATCTTTCACTTCTAGCATTTGAGATTGCGAAAGTTGTTCCTAGATCTCGGAACCTCGGTGCGGATCGATGACATTACGCCCCCGGGACTCTCATCAAGCCCTGCGTATATATTTCCATACCCCGGTAACTAATCAGCGACTGACGGACGTACGGACGGAGCGTTCTTTCTCTTTTTAATGAGCTCCTAAGGCTTAATTCCGAGAATTGTTTAATATCGCGGCGGCTGCGATTTCGGGACTCCTATTTTTACGGGCCGTACTTTGATAATCGCGGCGGGCGCGTTCTTGTATATTGTTTCGCTTTATGCGAGAGGGGGTGGGATCTAAGAAAGGGTGAATATCCTTTTTGGATCGTTACGGTGTTTTATTCGACCGTGCCGAGCGTTAAGCGTCCTTTATATCCACTCCGGTTTACGGGCAGCAACCGGTTTTTTAATGGCCCGCTTGACGCCGAGGTATCGGGCAATTAATATAATATACAGGGCGTTTCGCGGTTGCTTGGAACTCATAAGAGCATTAGGTCACTCCAAAAAGAACGTTTATTTGAGAGATTTGTACATAAAGTAACAGGTGAATTGTGACGTCATAATAATGTGATCTGCCAAACTTACCTTAGTCCAAAAGTTGATAGTAACCGAGTTGCAGGGTGTCAAAATCAAAATTTTATTCTATTTTTTAAATAACCCTCGAAATAATTGGTTACTTAAAAAAAACAAATCATAGTACGTTAGGAATTAACAAAATCTTTTTTTTATCAAATAAATAGTCGATTAGTTAATTTAAAATGCACCTTAATACTTGTGTACGCCGCTACTGTAATATTCATGTATATCAAATACATGAATTGTAGGCAAGCTACAATGCATGCGAAGGGAGATAGTGTGGGTCAACGGTGACGAAGCGAAGGGCGTCAATTTTTGTTCCGCATTTGGAGACAGACAGACAGCTCTTTAGCTATAATAAAGCGCCTTTATTTGATGTGAATAGATATAATTTAATTATTCTAGGGGCATTTTAATTAGATTAAAGACAAATTTGAGCACGTGACTGCCTTTTTATAAGTTTGATATTAATTTTACAGTTGAGTGATAAAAAATATAATTTTTTTCTAGCAATTTTGCTACGTCTTGCTTACTTGTTCAGAAAAAAAATGAAATTGTGCCCGCCCCTGGAAAAATAAATTTAATTTCATTAATAAAATGAAACAATAAAATATTCGTTTCTGATGAACCTTGTAATCTTTTAAAATTTTGGATGGATGGATGTGGTGGTGTGATACGGGCTGCCCACAGGGGGGGGGGGCTGTGGGCTCTACCAAGTTAAAATATTTTCAGTAATCGTACTTCCGGTTATACCGGAAGTCGATCCCAACTTTCTTATTTTAACTGGAACCCCCTGTATATTATTGCATTTTTGGAAAGAGCATTTATTTTTAAGTTGAAAAAACATAGCACACTTCATACTTAGGATTGACCGTTTCCGAGATATTTTGATTTTTAGGCAAAATTTGACAGATGGAGACTGTCAGCAAGATTTAGTTTTCCCGGAAAAACAGGATTAATTTTTTGTGCGAATTGGATATTTTGTAGAGGAAGATCTAATTTATCGGATTTGACATGAAAATTTTCCAGTGTTTATACAAGGTGGTAAAAAAAAATGTTCGAATATGAAGTTCAGAAAATGTGGAAACCACGAAATTTTTAAACAGAAACCCCCATTTTTTTTAACATAATCGCATTCTGCTCTAAAATTGAGTGTAACTTTATTGAAGTTTCCTTATACCTAAACCCAGGCGTTTTCATTTTATTTACGAATAAACAATTCCCTTTTCATAAAATGGTGTTTCCATTTGTTTCGCATATTTTAGGTTAGTAACAATCAACATGACAACTGTCACAAGTTTTTACTTGTCAAATTTGTTTGAATATCTTAAAAAATGAGTAAAAATTTGAGAAAGCTAATAATAGAGTAAATACATTTTTGAAAAAACTTATATAAAAGCAGTGGCGTGCAATAATTACATCAAATTAAACTGCTTACTTGTTACTAGGAACGTACAAAATTTTTATTAAAACTCAAGTAGTTTTGAGATATTTAAAAAAAGGTTTCTTATTAACATTAACACTCTGTATTTAGAAAACGAAGCTATAAAACATACTAGTAGTTATTTGTTTACAAGAGAAGAATTTTCCAATTTTCTTGAAAAACCTACAATAGAGGAAAAATATGAAAAAGTGATTTAAAAAATGTTACCATAAATTCATTGTCAATTCAAAAGATGAGGAAACTGTAACTAAAAAAGTAAATACATGCTTTTCGTTATACTATATGAAACAATAGAAACAATTTGTATCATGGGTGGTTAAATAAAAATATATTAATTTATATCAAATTCAGCCAAAAAAATTTTGTAGTGATTTTCGAAAGGTTGTAACTTTGTGAATAATGGTCATCATCGAGAGAAAAATAAAGTATCTTGAAGCTTGGAAATTCTAATTTTGAAATCTTGAAATGAACATTTTTTTAAGCTTTACTCTCGGCGCAATCAAGAGATTATTTTTTTTTCAAAACTGCAGATAGGCTCAATGTTTTTCTGGTTTAGGTAATCAATGCCAAGGTCATTTAGCCTGATTCATCAGCTTCAATTTGTTTTTTTCTCTGTAAATTTTGAAATCGATCGGTGGAACCGTTTTCCTTTTCTGAAAGTTTCATAAAAAGTATTAAAAAATGGAGCAGGTTTATTGCTTCTTAAACATCAATAATTAATGATTAAGTTGAAACAATTTCTTTTGCATTATTTTTCTGACAATTTCGCGTCAAATACTCATGAAATATCGAAAAAAAATTAAAAACTGAAAGCAAATCAAATTTTTCATAAGTAATTTTTTGTGTAAACAAATAGTAATCTTTTTTTCTCGACATTTGAAATATTCAATGTAAAAATGTAAAAAAGAGAACGCAAAAAATTTGATTTTTCTTCGAAATTGAGTTTTGTTTAAAATTTTGAATTTATTTTTCGTTATTTGTTTTGATTTTCACGTTAAATTGTGAGAAAAATAACTCAAAACATTTTTTTTCATTCTAATGATTAATGAGAACTTTTGTCATTTCCAATTTTATTCTCTCTCAATCTCAAGTTTTTGTACTTCAGTGAGTATTGTGTTCACTAAGTAGAAAAGTATGAGATAACATAATTATATATGTATCTGAACCATTTTTTTTCGCATGCTTTATTAAAATTGTGCATATATTTTTTGTATAATTGCTAACTAATAAACACCATTATTATTTATTATTATTAATTGACGTTTAAGGAGCAACAAACCTGCCCCTTTATTTTTTATAAAACTTTGACGATTCAGGAAAGGAAAACGGTTCTACTGACTGATTTTGATTTTGAAAAAAAATACAGGCCTCATAGGCTTGCATTGAGCTAAAAAAAAAACTACAAACACTGGTATTTTTCGCAATATTTGCAGTGTAGTCGTTAATTTTACAAAACAGCAGAAAAAGTAATTTTTTACACTTTTTCAAATGAATGCTGAATATATAAAAAAGTTGGAAAATTTTGCGTTGCTTGGTTTCTTTTGATTGCGCTGAAAGTGGTGCTCAAAAAAATGTTTCGTCTCATGATTTCAAAACTAGAATTTTCAAACTTTTTCTCTTGATACGACCATTATTCACGAACTTACAGCCTTGCCAAAATCATTAAAAAAATCTGGAAATTTTTCTGCTCCTTCAGTTTTTTTTGCTGCGTTTACATGGTTTCAAAGCTATAGATAGAATAAGTTAAAAAATTACACCGTATATGCAGACATTTTGACCCCTTACACTGTACGATTTTGAACCAATTACTTTGTTTTATTTTCCTGTAACATAATTTTACTAGATTGCCCATCAATCTTAAAACCCTCCACATATATCGCTGCACTTTTTTTATTTCATATAATTCCAGTACAGTTTCTTCTATTATCTCAATTACATCCTTTTCCCACGTTAACAAATTTCCTTCGATGCACATATACCCAATGTGGGCAGTGGACCCCGATATAAAAATAGTACACCTATTTATCATGCTTCTACTATTATTACCTACTGTTACATATTATTAAGTAAAGTTGCCGTTATGAAAGTGTGCTATTAAACTGAAAAATCCTAATTCCCAATGTCTCTGGAGGTCGTCTACTTAACTATATAAGCCGGGGTTAACCGCCGTTGATGTATTCCAGTTCCAACATCCGAAACACACACACACTAACATGAACACCATGGTAAGATACTCGTACATACCTAGTTGTAGTTCATACTTGCATAATAACGTGCCCTTTTTGCTAAAAAAATATGCAGCAGTTTTTTTCGGTATAAATAGCTGTTGATTTTTTGCGCCAAATATTGCTTCAATCTCGGTGAGCGTAATATTGCTATATACAGGATGGTAACAATTTTTTGTGCCTCTATTTTTTGTATGTCTAATATAAACAGTTGTAGTTTTTGTCCATGCACTATTGAATACTTCTATCATCTGTATCTTTTGTGCATTCAAATAATTATTGTCAGATCAATACCATTCTGTAAATACTTAACTAATTATGCAAGTAAATTAAAAAATTGTGATGTAATGTTAACATTCTTGTTATATGTGCATGTACTTAACATTGGACTAGTATTTTGATCTTTGATTGCAATTGCATATATTTGATTTTTATTTTTTATTGCATGAATCATTTTTGTTAAATTAATTTTCTTGAAAAATTTAAAAGTGACCTCAAGCAAAGTAGGTACCTCAATCCTTTGAAAGAAATGTAAATGTCATTGTTTTGTTCTATTATTTAGTAGTTTTGACACACATTATGTTTCTCGTAATTTTATAAGCAACTGCTTGAGAAATAATACAGAATTCTAAATTGCCAGTGTTCAATTCAATTGAATTAAGATCGGGACTTCTAGGAGATCATAATATGTTACTAAATTTTGCTGCTTCGTTACTGGATTGTGGATGTATCTATTTCAAGTTATTTTAAGTTATGAAAGTCTGCATAGAATTATAACACCGAAAATGGTGCAGTTTTCTATATGTTTCGGAATTTTAGGAAACATTCAGGATTCAGAATAGTTTATAATATCAAGTAAGATTTCAGAATTCAACAGTACATCCTTAATTATATTACCTAATAGGAATATGTATTAAAATTATATAACCTCCCAGAAGTCCTGATCTGAATTCAATAGATTTGAAATAATTATTATTTATTAGTCGGTTCCTGGCTTGATTTCGGGTGTTATAAAGGTTGTAGTAACATTTTTAAGAGTTTGAGGATAATCAAGAATTTTTTTAAAGGATTACATTTTCTCATAAAACAATTAAAAAAGTTTTTTCTCTTCAGAACACAATCGTAACACCCTGTATGTGTCTAAAACTTTCAAAAGTAGAAACCATGAACCCTCTAATTTTGCTTGTTTTAATTGCATTTTAATACATGTATCTTTTACAAAAAAGTCATGATTTAGTATTTTGCATTGAAATTGTATCGTGAATCTGATATTTTTCTATGAAAACTTCCATATATCACAATAGTGTCGCATTCTGTATTAGAGAAGCAAAATACAAAAGTAGAATTGGTCCGAATTCTTTAGAAACGTAACAATACGTGAAAATCAAATAAGTATTTTGTTTAAAGAAAAACTCCAATTATTTTAATTTTAGAAAAAATTATTTGTGATAAATACGTTTGCATATATTTAATTGAGGTTTTTCTGATATTTAAATGAGGTTGAAAGAAGTAAAACTGAGTGTAAAGGAAGTCATTAAGTATAGTAAAAATAATGATATACAGGGTGTATCTTAAAATTTTTTTTTTTTAAATGTTGTGTAACAAGTATCCATAGCCTCTAGTTTTCAGAGCCTATTCTAGATTTACAAACTTTTGCAGGCAAACATTCATAACCATGTATAAAAACTGTTTGCTAATGTTTATACAAATGTGTCTTTTCCATGGAGAATGAAAAACAAGAACTGTAAAACACAAAGATACTTGTGTGGACATGTCCGTCTTCAAACACCTGAATTTGGAGTATTACAACTCAAAATTTTGTATGGGATTAATCAATGTTTCGAAATCAGTGACTGTCATTCTCAAAAAATTTCGAAATCCAGCATTGTTATTGTCAATTCTATCAAAAGATTTTCACGTTGTTGTACTCCATCTTGAAAAATATTATCCTCGAACGCTTTTTATTTGTTCTTATATTCAGAAATATGTAGCATGCAAAAATTCCTTTTGTTTTCGCATCGTTTATTTCAAAATATTTGCATGTAAAATTTAAATTGATTTTATTTTTTTCCTCTCTATTACAGATTGTGTCAGTCCTCTCCGCTTTGGCCCTCCTCTCAGGCACATCTGCCTCCGGTTGGGGAGCCCCAGCTCTTGGTCTAGGTCTTGGCCACGGAGGACTTGGACTTGGAGGAGTCGGTCTTGGTCACGGAGGACTTGGACTTGGAGGAGTCGGTCTTGGTCACGGAGGACTTGGACTTGGAGGAGTCGGTCTTGGTCTCGGCCACGGCGCCATTGGAGTCGCCGGTCCCGCCGCTCTCGCCGTCCCCGCAGCCATCGCAGTCAAAGCCGTCATCCCCTCAGGCGTCGTCACCGGAGCCGGAGCTAGCGGACCATCTGGCACCGTCACTGGAGCAGGAGCCGTAGGCCCCTCTGGAATCGTCACTGGCGCAGGACCCATCGGACCCACCGGACCAGCTGGAAAGGGCGTAGTACTAGCCGCGCCAGCGATCGCCGCCGCTCCCGTTTGGGCTGGACCCGCTCTTGCCGGACCTGGTCTGCTAGCCGGCGCTAAAATCGCCGCTGCCAACGCCGCCGCTAACGCCGCTGGAGCCGCTTATGCCGCTGAGACCAGCAGGGCGGTAGCCGCTGCTCAGATAGCCGAGGGACAACGTCAAGCTGCCGCTGCTGCGGCCAATAACATCGCCGCTGCTAATATCGCAGCTGCCGCTACCGCTAAGTGGGCTGCTGGTCCCGTATTGGCAGCTGGTCCTCTTGGACTTGGTGGTTTGGGAGTTGGTAAGCTTGGTATTGCTGGTGGACACGGAGGATATGGAAAATGGTAAACTGAACCAGATGTATCTACCCCGATATGCCGTTGTGATCACCCCCGCCATTGAGACTATACTTGTATATTTATGTATATTTATATTTAGTTTTAGCTGCAAATAAATTATTGAATGAAATCATATATAGTTGTTGTTACTTGCATTACATTTTAATAAAATGTAATAATTCCTTTTTCTAAAGAAAAAGCTTGAAAATGAAAGAAATAACTTGAGAAAATACAGCTATATGAAGAGAAAAGATAATATTACAATATATAAAAAACGTTTAGTTTTTCTTTAATAGAATCGGAACTAGAGTCCATTAATCACTACATATTATAAAACAAAGTCCTCCGCCGCGTCTCTCTGTCTCTCTGTTCGCGATAAACTCAAAAACTACTGTACCGATTTTCATGCTGTTTTCACCAATAGATAGAGTGGTTATCGAGGAAAGTTTTAGTATATAATTTGTTAAGTTTTTGTATACATTAACGATATTTGTTGGGGGTCTCGGAAAAAAATAAGCCGTCTGGGAGCTTTCAACGAAAACGCTGCCTAAACCCTTTGAGATATAACAAAATAATGTATGGTGGAATTGTGTATCTTATATAGGTCTACAGTCCGCGATGGCATATGTCTATCTCTTAAGGATAACATACTATATCCATTTTAAAAAATGGGCAATTATAATGCGGTAATTGGAAAGCTATTTACACAAATACGGTATTAATCCTTATCATTTTAAATACGTTAGTTGGCTTGAGCATTTCATGAAGATTATTTTTTCCCTTTACACCATGCAAATTAAATGAATACCTTAGGAGATATAGTAAAATCAAAATAATGCGCAACGAAATTAATTTCGTGTCGCCGTGATTCGACCGGCCGCGCGGTCGCTCCGTGACCCCTTATATATGCCTACAGAAAAGTCCGCGATGGCATATGTCTATATGTTAAAGATAACATACTACTTATATCCATATAATTTAAATGAATATCTTTAGGAGTAATCGCAAAAAAATTACGGACGCGAGAATAAAATTCAGGCGCCTCGCTTCACTTGATGCGATCGCCGACCCTTCCCCCGCACCGTCTTGCCTACTGTTTAGCTAATAGGCCGAACGATAACGCGCGCGTGATCCTTTAATAAACTGACTTGGAGCGAATGGAAGTGACGACTGATGACTGTGTTTTCTTTCTGTGTGTTGTTGGAAAGTTATAATTGCGTTCGATATTTTAGTCGCATTTTTGTTTTGTGTATGTTTTCTTTAGGTAGTTAGATACCTAACTACCTACTTATTATTTAAAATTGATAGTCCTGAACATAGGTACTTTAATTTAATTCGTTTTGTTTTCACATTGTTGGTAGTTACCTATATTGTTTTAAATTTAAAGGTTTTGCATTTTTAGTTTTGAGTTCGTTTGTTGTCTTTAGGTATATAGATCGTGAATTATTTTAAAATTAATATTAGGATCGCATTAGATGAAATATGATTGATTTTTTGTTTGTTACGATTTAACTCAAAAACTACTCAACCAATTTTACCGAAAGCTACATCTCCTCGGAGTAACATAGGCTATTTTATATTTGCCCGTGCGAAGCCGGGGCGGGTTGCTAGTTAACAATATAAGGATCATAACAACGATATTTCTGGTAATTAGCTGTAAACATAACACGGTACATGGATAACTTTATTTGCTGGCATCAAATAATATCCTTAAAAATATAAATTTGAATATGCAATGACTTACATTTAGTTGCAAATAAATTATGGAGTGAAATGAAACGTAGTTATTTTATTTACGTAAAATATTAGTAATCTGTTTCTATTTCTTATGAAAAAGCTTGAAAATGAAATAAGTAGCTTAGGAAGAATAAAATAGATCATGATATAAGATATTAAAACTATGTTACATATTTAAATAAAATCAGAATCAGAGAACATTAAATTCTGTGTTTCTATTTTTATTTCCAAATTTCTATATTTCTGAAATAGTATGAAAAAATTCTATTGGACCAATTAGACTCGCTTTTTATTTCTTATATTTGTTTTTGCTAAAGTTTGAGTAAAAGAGGATATGTTCTTTTCTTGGCTCTTTGTTCAAATTTTTTATGACATGATGGCATAAAAATCTTTTGTTCTAGGGACAATCTGAGACTAAATTCATATATAAATACTACCCTGATATAATAAAAATATATATTTAGCGCTTTGTAGTTATCATGTAGATTTAAATTTTATTGAAATATTTTGCTATCTATTTGCGACTATAGACATTAGAAAACTAGTTTTGCTAACATTTTCGGTGAGTTCAAATAAGTGAGTTTCGGTTTTTTGTTTAGATTTTTGACACATTCATATTTACCGGGCCGTTTTTAGAACTACACGATGGGGATCTTGTTAAAATTAGAACAAAGTTGAGGATTTCGTTGGATGGCAAAGAATAAGACGATCACATTTTTCCTATCTTGAAAATTTTGATTTTCATTTTTATTAGGACCCTTTTTTATGAATAGGTACCTAATTTAATTATCGAACTTAATTTTTTTAAATCATCTGATTTTTCTTAATGCAATGTTGAAATACCAAATAATCAATGTTACAAAACATAAACTAGTACGACAAACGAAATTTTGGCAGTTCTGTTAAATTTCCATTAACATTAAAGTAGAGAACTAAAGATGCAATTTTCACTAAAAATACATTTGGATGCTTTTAAGTAGATTTTGGGCAACTTCATATTTTCAAAATTTCTGTTTTTTATTTGCGAATTTATAAGAAAATGCAATTTTTTATAAACATTCATGCTTATCCTCATTCTCTTGGCATTTTTTTTTGAAAAATTTAAAAGTGTCGTAAGCTGTACCCAATCTTTTTGAAATATAGAACAGTGTTACTTAAAGGTATCGTTAGAAAATTCAATTGCCGTAAATAATGAAGGTCAATTGCTTTACAAAAAAAAGAAAACTCATTTTATATCTGTGTATATCACAATTGTGATTCCCATAATTACGTCAGGAAGTAATTAACAAATACGAATTAATTAAAATCGATTGAATTTAGAACGAGATTTCTGGAAGGTCGTACAATTTTGCTGCATTGTCCGAAAGAAAATTTTTTCTTTTTTCAGAAAAACTGGAAGAAACGGAAAAATTCAGAAAAATTGACTTTTGGTTAAATTCTAGGATTAAAACATTCTATGTTTGACGATATAAATAATATATTATTTACAAAAAATGTTATTTTTGTACTCATTGACGTTTACTTCAACAAAATGTGGAAAAATATTTTAATAAGTATTTTTAGTATAATAATTTATGGTCTTGTTATTTGAGTTTTTTCAAATTTTCTATATACGGGAGTTCTTTTCCAATTTTTTAGTTTTTTCTGAATCAGGACACCATCGTGGAACATACGTATACAGATTGATATATAGCGTGATTCACATACAACTTTCCTAAGAAGAAGTTGGATTACTGTTGTCAAACAATGAAACTGATTAGAGAGGATTTAAAATTGCAGTTTTTCTTGATTATTGTAACGAACTATAAAATTCCTACTTTTATGAATAAGAAATGTACCAACTCAGCGTTAATATTTAGTTACCATTGAAAACCGCATGATTTGGATATAACAAATCCAGTCATAAAACTTAAAATATTTCTTGAAAAACACGCCTTCAAAAATCTCAAAAACGCGCTCCTGAAAAATTATATCTGACACTTGACCTATGAATATGATCCCTTTATATTCAAATTTAGAAAAACGTCAATAGAATATATTGCATACCAAATTGCCAGCTGCAACTACGGCGACATTGATAAAGCTGAAAAACAGCTGAATACCATTATCACGTGCATTTACAATATTTGTTTTGATTTATTTGCCGGCTAGTCTGATTATGATTTACATACCATTTTTTCTAATAATAAACTGGTAATATACTGTTAACGTTACAGTTATTACATATCATTATGTCAGTGCCGTTATGAAAGTATTCGACTTCTTTGAAAAATCATAATTTCGACCCGCTGGAGGTCGTTTGATTCTGTTATATATACTGGGGTTGACAATGGGATAGCATATCAGTCTGACTTCGCTTTGTCCTCAGATACACTCTTCAAAATGAACTCCTTGGTAAGAAACTCAACATTTTGCACAATATATTTTCACTACTTTCTTATATTTTCTATTTCTAGGTAAAAGCAATTCTTGCCATCTTGGCCATATCCTCTCCAGTATCCGCCTCAGGATGGGGCCACGGAGCTGCAGGACTGGCAGGTCTGGCTATTCCTGCAAGAGCCGTCATCCCTTCAGGAATAGTCACTGGAGCAGGAGCTAGCGGTCCTGCAGGAACTGTAACCGGAGCAGGAGCGATAGGACCAGCAGGCATTGTTACCGGCACAGGACCGATTGGACCCACAGGACCAGCAGGAACAGGAGCTATCCTCGCAGGACACGCCATTGCAGCTGCACCAGCGATCGCTGTAGCTCCTGGCATCGCAGCAGGAGCAGGATTAGCAGGAATTGGATTAGCAGGTGCGTAACAGCTTTTTACAAGATTTGTATTAGATTTTAACATTTTTGCATATCGAATGGTTTTAAAACAACAACCAAATGTTGATTCCTGAATTTGGTTTTAGGAGCAGGACTAGCAGCTGGCAATGCAGCTGCCGTCGCCCAAGCATCAGCCGTCGCCCAAGCATCAGCCGCCACCCAAGCTTCAGCCGCCGTCCAAGCTTCAGCCGCCGCCCAAATAGCCGCCGCTTCCCGCGCAGCCGCCGCTTCCCAAGCTGCAGCTGCTGCCAACGCAGCCGGTGCCGCTATAGCTGCAGAGACCAGTCGCCAAGTAGCAGCGGCCCAGATAGCTGAAGGCAGCCGTCAAGGGGCAGCTGCTGCAGCTCTAGCTGCTGCCCAGGTAGAGACCAGCAGACAAGTAGCAGCCGCTCAGATAGCAGTAGGAAGCCGCCAAGTTGCGGCTGCTCAAGCAGGCGCTGTAGCTCAAGCTGCTACGGCTAGTCACGTCGCGGCAGCTAGTCAAGTCGCCGCAGCCAGCCAAATAGCTGCAGCTAGTCAAGTCGCCGCAACTAGTCAAATCGCTGCAGCTAACCAAATAGCCGCAGCTAATCAAATCGCAGCTGTGCAAGCTGCGGGTGCTGCTCAGGCTGCTAATTTAGCTGCAGTGGGAGGAGTAGGAATCACCGGAGTAGGAAAGCTTGGAATTGGTGCAGGAATTGGAAAGCACTGGTGGTAAATGGTGTCCAAAGGGCGTGGAGGCGATCATGTGATTATTAGTACTTAATTTAATATATGTAATTTATTTGTGTACGTAAAATAAATATGTAAAAATCTAAATTTAGTTTTAATTTATTAACGCTCAATTTCTTCTGGATTAGAAACATTTAGCACTTTTTTACCCTAGGTGTAAAGCTATTTCAAACGAATTAAAAATAATTAATGAAAAAAAAAACGCTTATCAAATGAGATCAAATAGTGTTACCCGATACCAGAAATCTAGGTATATAAAACTTGAAATTTCGCACCGGTTCCAATCCATACGTCAAGCCGTGCTACAAAGCCGGAAACCGCTTTGACGACGAAGATTTTGCAGAACAAGAGTACGCTCGAAGGCAACGCTGGAAAAGATCGGGGAGCCGCGCCAGACAACGTCGTCCACCGGAGAAGAAATCCCAAACGACCGAGGCAGACTGTGACATTTGGGGGGCAGCGCCAAAATCCCGAGAACCGATATCGTATCAAAGATCGCCCAGGTTTCGACACGTTTTCGTTAGAGGCGATCGAAAGTCGACTTTGGTTACTTGCAGTTACATAATCAGAGACAAGTGCCTGGCTAGTATGTGTGAACTACGATGCAAATTTAAAACAAATAACTTACAGCCAATATAGTCAGTATTACAGATATCTGCATGTTACCTATTACTGATATAGTTACTGTATCGTTATACTGAGTGTAAAATAAAGAAATATTTTTCAAATATACTGTAGTTAGTAAAAAGTCTTCCCAAGTCGCGCAGCGCTGCGACCACCAAAAAACCAAAAGTCCCTAGCCAACCTTCATATATTATATTCTCATCCTATCCTATGTACAGGGTCGGAAAGTCCCCATGGTTCATCGGCCATATAAGATCCACTTCTTATTTGTGGAAGGGCGAAATGGGCGGTGACTATTAGACACCTTCATTATAGCTATCTTTCTCTATCGCACGGATTTCTATGAATTTCTTTATCGCTCTCACCTAACGGCCGATGAACCATGGGGACTTTCCGACCCTGTATATCTAGATATACATAGGATTAGTTATAAGAAAGTAAAGTTTTAAGTATAAAGATAGATTCTTAGAAATAAAGCTAAAGTTAAATATAAAATTATACAGGTCCTTTCCAGAATTCTGACCCATATTAAAATTTATTCCAATATTCAAATTTTTATCATACCAAACCTATAATTCTTAGTATTAAAACCGTTACAAATATTTGACAATTTTTCCAAAGTCCTATAAAAGGTCTAAAATAACCCAAAATATCACTTTCTTGCCTACCAGAAAAAAACAATAATTTTTATTATAATGTGAAAGTAACCAACTTGTAGGGAATAAAATAACCTTTAAAATGGCAGTTTTTAAAATCCGATACGATAATTTGTCGCTCTGGAAATTGCAAAAAACTGTCAAAATTCGATTACATATTACTAAATAAACAATAAGTTTTGGAAAAGTCAACCTTTGACAAGACTTTGATATTGCATAAATAGTTGGCTTTTATACTCCTTAATATGTGATTAAAATTTCAGACCGATTCATCCAATAGTTTTTTCAAAATTCTAAATGTTTATCCTAGAGGCATTATTGTAATAACTTGACACGCAAAATTACCAAGATATTTGAATTCTGCGGGTGTCATATGAAAGAGAAAGACTTTTTTTATTGGAAGAAATTATTTTATTGCAAAATAATAGTTTTTTACCACTGCAAAAACGTACCACAAAACACTGTCATTTTTGTCTTATAAACAGTTAGAATAAATTTGTTGCTATTATATTTAGAGAGGTTATTTTTCTGTATTCGTAAATCTGGTATTTTTACACAAATTTAAAAAAAAAAATTGGTCTTACTTAATTTGGAGCAAAGTTAAACACTTTTTTTTAAATAACAGCTACTTTGTTTATAACAATTAAGACTTCTAATAAGTGTCATTTCGAAGATAAAGAGCTAAAGTTTCTATGTGAAATTTTTGAGGACGATAGCTTTGTAACAGCATCTCTGAGAATGCTCCAAATAATGACTTCGATACAAGATGACTATCAGTCAGTGTCAACTTGTTGACCGATTTCGATGTTTTTTTTTTAATTTGGGGTACCTTCTTGCGTACATCACAAATATGCATTTTGTTAATAAATAAAAATTTAAATTAATCCAGTAATTTGTTTAAATATTAACAAAAATTTTTTTGCAAAATATCAACATTTGTACTTTTTTGTAATGGAACATTATAGGAATGATGAATAAATTAATTTTGAGATTAACTAAGTATTTTGTTTAAACTTTTACCAAAAAGAAAATTCTAAATTATCAACATTTTCGGAGTTATTTTGACGGGAAGTTATATATATTAATTTACATTTTAATATAAGCTTTATTAATGTTAATAATACATTTTTGTTTTCTTTATTTATATAATATAATTCTTACTTTCACATACTATGTATAGGCAGGGTGTTCAAAAAGTTTGTAACCCCCATCTATCTCAGAAAATACTGCTCAGACATAAAAATTATTAGGACAAAAGTTGCAGGGTTTTGAGTGAGCAAAGTAATGGTGACCTTGATCATGACCTTAACCATGACCTTGAAGGTAATTTAGAGGTCCAGTTGGAAATTTTAAATGGAACCGTAAACTTTTGACCCCGGAAATGGTAAGAGCGGAAAATTTTACGTTTGAATGTGACCTTGACCATGACCTTCAAGGTCATTTAGAGGTCAACCTGAAAATTTTAAATGGAACCGTATATTTTTTACCCCGGAAATGGAAAAATCGGAATTTTTACGTTCGGATATGACCATTTTTGGTTTTGGAATTTCCCGAGCAACAAATTATCGTATCGGATTTTAAAAACCGCCATTTTAACGGATTTCTTATTCCCTACAAGTTGGTTACTTTCACATTATAATAAAAATTATCGTTTTCTTCTGGTAGGCAAAAAAATTATATTTTGGGTTATTTTATTGTTAATTATTAAAAAACTTCACCTCATGCTGTGTGGGTTTTGCACATACTATACTAAAATTCACCCAAATTTTATGAAAAACCTTACAGATCCTTGGCTACTCAACAGTCACGGTACTTTCCTCATATCCCTGGCCTACTAAGGTAAGAACAAGTTGCAAGTAAATTAGATGTTGTCCTGCCATCAGAAGCGTTTGAGGTTCAATTCTCTTTTTGATCTGCACATCTTTAAAGTGCATAATTTTTTACCTACGTAGGATAAGACCTTTATATCGCAGACGCCCTGTACACTTAGTATTTTCGTCTAAAATAAGTACCTCCTCGTGTGAGACTAAACACGAGGGCAAATGTGATGGAGAACTTTTTCCGCATAAACTTAAGCGTCTACATGTATTATGCGAGTTTTAAGTTTTAAAACTCGAAGAAGTTGCCCGGAACTTTATTAAGAGTACATACCTGATTTGTCTCGAGGTCCTGAGGGACTTTAAACGAATAGAATATGCATCACGTAAGGACAATGAGAAATCTTATCGCAGAGGATGTATAAAGGGTTATAGTGGATGCCCGGAGGCGGGGTAATTGTAAATATGGAAATTTTTGCACGATATATTGAGTGGGATGATGCATAGAGTAAATCAGATTTGCTCTTCTTTCCTTGGATTTCAGACGAAAGTGTTAAGTGTACGATGTTCCTCATTTCGTCGATATCCTGCGTGAGGCAAAGGGGATCTTATACAATATTAATAGCATACCTACTTTTGTATCAGTTATTCTACTTCCTTCTAAAATAGAAGCATTCCCGGTAATCACATATACGCCTTTCTAACGTATGTCTCTGGGAGACATCACAAGTAATGTAAAAAAAGTGTTGTTGAAAACTTTGATGGAGTAAGAAAATTAGAATATTTTTATTTATTCATTTGATATGGTTAGTTGTGGTCCTTTCCTAGATTGAATAAAAAACATCGCAGCGGTGTCAGGTGTGTCCCAAGACTCTTACTTGAGGCCACTATACAGGGTGTTGAAAAAAGAGTGTAAAATATTTCAGGAGGTAATAGTATGAACCAAAATAAGCAGAAAAGTCTTAATAAACATGGGTCCGCAAAGTAACGGTTGCGGAGATATGGACCACTATTCGTTTTTCAAACATTTTATTTTATTAGGAATAAACCGACAAAGGAAGCTTTTAACAAACAAAAAACAAAGTTACAGAAGATGTTCAAAGTGCCCTCCGTCCATTTCCAAGCAGGCACGACATCTTCGTCTCAACGATATTCGAACTCTTTCGAAAACACCCTCCTTGGTTTGGATTTCTTGACACTTTTGATTAATCCGTAGCTGCAGCTCTTCCAGGCTATTTACAGGAGTACCATACACTAATGTCTTCAAATATCCCCAAACAAAGAAATCTAGAGGGTTCAGATCAGGCGATCTTGGAGGCCATAAAACAGGTCCGGCCCTTCCTACCCATCTATGTGGAAAAGTTTGGTGTAAATGCTCTCTAACGGCCATGGAAAAATGAGCTGGAGCACCATCATGCTGGAACCACATTTGTTGCCTCTGATTCAAAGGAATGTCTTCCAAAAACTCATACAGTGTGTTCTGCAGAAAGTTGAGGTAAGCAGCGCCTGTTAATCGGTTTGGTAAAACAACAGGACCTAGAAACCTGTCACCTACAATACCCATCCAAATGTTTAATGAAAAACGTGCCTGATGTCCAGATTCTATTAGAGCATGAGGATTTTCGTCGGCCCAAATATGCGTATTGTGAAAATTAAACACTCCATTTCTTGTGAACCCGGCCTCATCAGTAAAAAGAATGTTTGCAAGAAAACGAGGGTCTTCAGCATCATGACGTAGAAACCAGCGGCAAAAAACCAAACGTGCTTGATGATCATTTATTGGATTTAAGGCCTGTACTCGTTGCACATGGTATGGATAAAGCAGTTGCTCGTGAAGGATTCTCCAAACAAGAGGACCACTAATTCCTACCTCGGCTGATATTCTCCGCACACTCGTACCTGGATTCTGCTCTACCAGTGCTAGAATTTCTTCTTCTGCTCTAGGAGTGGATACCGACCTTGGTCTTCCGGATAAATGGCACTGTTTGCTCAAGGAACCGGTATCACGCAATCTTTGGTGAATTCTTCCAAACATGCGTTGTGAAGGAATCTGGCGATTTGGATAAGCGTCAACATAAAGACGTAAACCGAATAGTTTGACTTATTTTAATCACTTGTGAACGTCGAAATACACCGAAAAGATATTTAATCAAGTATTTAAAATTCTAGTTTTTTTCTAAATTCAATCTAGTAGATTCTAGCTTAGTTAACCACATAAATATAGCTTATTTTTTTGTATGACCTTCAATGCTGTGCATCCACGTGCTAATTGAATTTTGTTTCTTCTTTCTCTCTCACCAGAGCTTACCAGAAAAGTTTTTAGAGAGAGATTTAAATAAAAGTTGTTTTTTGAGAAGTCTCAAGTTTTTGAAAAGTTTGAAATTTACAAAAAATTTTAGAAGTTTTATGAAAAGCTTTTTTATAGAAAAGTTTATTAAAAGTTTTAAAAGTTTCGAAAGTTTAGAAAAGTTTTTTGAAAGTAAAGTTTAAATTAGTTTTGAAACGATGACGAAATGTTTATGGAGATTTATTTTTAAAAAGTCTCTTAAAGACTTACGTACAGTTTCAATTTAGCGAAGATTGAGTAGCTAAACATTAATAAAGTCACTGCATTTTGAGTCCTGCATTTGGACAAACTTTATGGTAACCTGGCAGAGAATTAGGTCGACCAGATTTCAGTTCGTCGAGTCCAAAACACCAGGACACCTGTAGACACCCCGTATTCCGCAGAAAATCCCATAAAACACCTGGACATGTGTGAAAAATATATTGGTGAATTTTATTTGTGCTTACAGGTATTTATTTTACTCCAAATCAATACCTACAGGGTGAGGAAACCGTTAGGGGGTTATTTTTGCTTAATTTATTTGTAGGTTGGCGCCCTTTTTAATATCTTTTATCTCACCTATAACGTTTTTTAGGCGTGCAATATTTTTATTGCTCGATGCTCATCATTCATCAGTGACAAATGATTTTTCTTATCACGATCTTTTGTTTCATGTTCCATTTTTGCAAGGCAGTTGATCTTATTTGTATTTAATTCTCATTAATCGTAATGTTTTTGTAAAATTCTATTTTATCTTGCTTGTTTTCATTAGCGGTTGCTACCAAATATTCAGAGAATTCAACATTAATTAAAAAAGTGATTTCAGACATATTAATGTGTAGAACATATCCATATTTTCATGTTTTTAATTTACTAAACGATTAATGTTTTGTTTATGGTGAAAGCCCATATACAGCAGTAGTGAGTTTGTAGGTCGGTACCGGCCCAAGATCGGACCCCTGTGGTATACCCACACTACCTTTCAACGCAAGGCCGACAAACAACAACCAATTTAATATAAACAAGTTTTTTTTCTTTATTTTTCTTTAAATTAACTACAAAACAGAACTGATTTCATCTACGACACAGTTTACCAACCATGATGGCCTAGTCCCCAAGCTCCATGACCTCCATGACCCCAGGCACCATGTCCAACTCCGACAGCCAATGGAGCGGCGGCTAAGACGGGGGCGGCGATCACAGCGTGTCCATGTCCGTGTCCAGCGGGTCCGGTGGGTCCAATCGGTCCGGCTCCGGTGACGATTCCGGAAGGTCCAACGGCACCGTGTCCGGTCACCACGCCGGATGGTCCAGAAGCTCCATGGCCGGTGACGACTCCGGAGGGTCCTACAGGACTCCAGGCGTGGGGGTGGACGGCGGCAACTACGCCAAGACCGTGGAGGCCGTGCACGGAGGCGGAGACGGCGGAGATGGCGGCTAGGATGGCGAAAGAGGCAACAACCTAAAAAGGAAAAATGTTTTGATATGAAAACGTTTCTTGCTTAAAATTTCAATACGACTTAAAAAAAGTCGTATGTAATACAAAAATGATAGAAGTAAAAGTTAAATGCAACACCCTGTATATTGCATATAATATTATTAAGGATGTAGAATACATGAAATAAATGTATTTTTGACTTTCAAGTATTGTGTTACTTTAAAAAAAAATAAATGAGTTTTTAATGATACGGATAATACTTACGAAGGTGTTCATATTTGTGTTTGTTGTTAGATCAATTATACGAGTGATACTGATACAATTCCAACAGCTGACCTTCTTTTTATAGCCGTAGATTGGAAATTATAGGACCTTCATTATCTCTAGGTAATTGTTATAATTTTAGTGAAATGCTGACTCAAGGGATTTTGACAGTAGGTATGTAATTTTTTTCAGTTTTGCGTCACTGTGTTTGTCACTGTTTTCCTTTAATTTATCGTGTCAAGCGGAACCGTAATTCGATAGGAAATTTTGATTTAGTTTCGAAGCCGAAGGTAATCTGTAATTTATCTGATTTTCGCAATCCACATGTTGTTTCCGATGGCAAAAAAATGTATTGAATGTCTGCCTACTTCATAAAATACAACATACTTTACTGTATTCATTGATTTTAGTAACTTAATAATAAACTGGGCTGTTAAAGATGTATTACGGTAATCCTCGTACACATCTAAATACAGGAAGTGTTGGAATAATATCACATAACTAAATATCATGCTGTTTATTCTATGTCATTTATTTTTTATACAGCTGCAAAGTAACAGTCATATAACAGAAACAATCGAACTTGACCCAATCCTAACTGCACGACTACTTTATTTTTACTTTTGCTAATGCTCTATTTAATTCCGCGAAATATATAGGGTGAACAATAAAAAAGGCAACGCCTCAATTTTTCTGTCCTATTTATTACTACATTTCGAATGTTAAGTGATTAAAAAGTAAATTTTTATTTAACTCTGCATTTCAATCGCAACCGAAAACTTATTTTTAACGCTCTGTATAGCAAGTTATCAAGAAATTTATTATTTTTGTAGCGTTTCCACTATTTAAAAACTTCGCCCCGATGTTATTTTCTTTCTCAACGAAAAACTTTCCAAGAAAATGATTTTTAACTCATATCCGCTGTAGTAATTGTTTGAAACTTTTATTTCCACTTTAGGATTATTTTTTCCGCGACTTAAGCGTGTATCGAGCGCCTCACTAACTTCAGTACATTTACAAGTAGTCCTGGATATAATAGTTTGCCATAAAATAAAGTTAAAACTGTACTAAAGAGAGCCGGGAGGTTTTAGTAGATTTCTTCTGCGTTATGCTGAATGTACTTCAAAGAGTTCGCACAAACTTCGGCAGTTTATTTTAAAAAAAGCGACAAAAGGTTTATGTGAATTACCACAAACCGTCAAACCAAATTTGTTCAACATTTGCCGTATTTCTTTAAAAAAAAAAAATACGTCTGCCACTTTCCTTGACATTTTTAACAAATTTAAACCAAATGTGCCAGATGCACCCTTTGGTTTTTACCGTATTAGTTAATTACCTTTATTTCAGCTGCATGTGCACAGAAAATAAATTTCTAATACATATACTATTTCAGTGTTCTAGTAAACCGTCACATTTTGATTAAATATACTTTAATTTACAAAAATATTAATTAAATACACTTAAAGGAACTTAAAAGGAAAAAACCGTCCGTGAAAATAACAAATCGATAAACATATCAACCCGTCAACATTGCTTTTCCATTTTGTTCGAGAAATTATGGTGTAGAGTTCGGAAGAATGCGGCTCTTAACAGAGCCGGATTCGCTTGCTTGCAACTTGATTTTAAATCAAACGGGTACATTTTTAAAATGACTTGGTGGATTTATTTAAAATTTTCAGAACCAGTTTGTTTTTTGTTGTGCGTAAATTAAAGAAGCGTAAAACTAAAATTAAAATTCGCCAAAAGTGCCCATTGTATTTTTTATCCGAAATATATCAAACCCTTTGTTTCTCTACACCTCTTTAAATAAACTACTGCGACTTTTTTTTCAATTACTAAAAACGAAATTTGTTAATCGCTTGTACAAAAGTGTAAACTTCCCTCTTTTTTCAACATTAGTTCAGAGGAAATTGAATAAATCACAAAATAAAATTTAATGTACTGTAATAGTAGTTGTTACATTTTTATATCGTTTATATAAATTTAGAAACGAATAGATTTTGTTCAAAATTGGTGCGGTTACTTTAATATATTTTTAATTTTTATCTCAATTTAAACTGGAAAAGTATTTTTTGTTTTGAAAATGTTAGTTCTTTCTAAAGAAATGCTCTTTTGCAATCCCTTTCCATTTAGAGATATTAATGATAATGGAATCTGACATTGGTTAAGCCATCTGGCTGCTTTGAAGATTGGTAGTAACAGGAATGAACAAAGTCAAATTTTTTGATAGAGGAAAGAAGTTCCAAAGTTCTTCAGTAAAGAAGAGGGAGGCTCTTTGGTGTACTCTATAGATGTTGAACAAATTGAAAACTGACTTTTGCAAATCCAAGAAGTGGAGGCTTAAAAATCAATTCTACCATCTCGTCCTAGCTACAGTGATATCGTTACACACCGATTTTGAAATTTCCTTTCCCTTTCTTGATGAAAATGCGTTTTCGTTAGCATGCAAGATTCGTTCTAATCTGGCAAATATTTTTGGCATCTTTTTGCCATTCACTATAAATTAAAGTCATTTCAACTTTTTCATTGTTTGTGACCATTTTTTTCATTTTTTGGAACCACTTACTACTTTGTTTATCATACAAGAAATAGCGTTTGACAGAAACTTGTGTCAGAAGTTTCAGCCATTGTTTTCACAGCAACGTAGACTAGATCATGACTATTTCCAATACAATAGGATACATTTTTGTATAATATTTGTTTTTAAGGAGAAGAGATAGAGAAAAAATGTCTGCACAAAAAATGTTTAGCTTAAAGAAGCGACCCTACTGGTTCAGCTTACGGATGTAGACGTTAGCCCAACCTCATTTCGAAATAAAATTGAATAGTTTTTAACCATTTCGTACGGAAATGAACCAACACTCTATATATTCTCCACACCCTAATTTGAAACAAAGGCAAAATTTCTATTCCAACATTTTTGTCTAGATTGTCTTTGACTCATAATCTTACATTTCAATCTCAGCGTTCTGCGGAAAAAAATTGAAAACTTAATCAGCCCGGTCAAAATTCGCGGCAATAATCGTTTAATTAGCCTTTTTTTCCCGAAACCGCAGAATAATTGCCTCTTTTTTCAACCGCGACATAATTGTCTCATTAAGCAAACTAAAAAAGAACTGCTAATTTGGAGCTTTTTTCCCAACTCATCCTCGTGCCAGCCAAAAAGCGGTCTCGGACCGACTAACTAGATTAGTTCTAGCGCCTAGAGTTCCTTTTACAATAACAAAAAAGGTCGTGTCGCAACGTTTTTGCGGCTAGCGGTAGCTCAGGTAATACGATAGTCATTAAAAGTGTAACAATTCACTAAAATATGAGCAATTCCTTATTGTAATGAAGGTCCTTCGACATACCTATATAAACTGGAGCTAATCGACGAAAAAGTATCAGTGTCAGTGTTTTCCTTCTGATAGATCCACTATTCAACATGAACGCTTTGGTAAGAAAAAAATTTACATTATTTTCCTTAAAAAAATGATTTTTCAACGATTCTAATACCAGCGAAACAAGAGGAAAAGTTTGTATTCAAAAGTGAAGAAAAACTTATCCAAAGGTGCCCTTTTTAACGGCTAAGGATATTCAGGATGCTGAGAAAAGGATATTTCTGTTTTGATTGAGACGTTTTTAAAATTTAGAATTATTTTTCAATTTTTGTAATTTCGTGGCTTAGTTATTCGAAATTTTGTCTGTTTTCAAAAAAATCTGAAAAAATCAATAAAATTCAAATATTGAGAAAAATTGTTACAAAAAATAACAATTTAATAAATTTTTGTATGAAAAGTTTTTAAAATTATTTCTCAGGACTGTAGTATTAATGAAAAATACATTTATATGCAATCACTAATGAAATTCTTTAATATTTAGTTTAGCATCGAAATAAAATAAAAAACTAATATTTTAGTAAAAGATACAAATTGGACAAATAATTTAATAAATGGAAAAATAATACTACAAATAGAAAATTTGTATTCATTATAACTTTATTTAGTTATTAGAAGTCTGTTCCTAGTTTCTCTTAATTTTTCCAAATTTTTGCTTTGGAAAAAAGGATTTTTTCCCACTTTTTCTTTTCCTTTCTTTTTTCTTAACGTCTCAGTTATTATAGCTTTTTATGTTTAATAAAATAAGCAATATTTAAGCAAAAATAGCAAGCTGGGCAAATAATAAAGTAAATGTAAAAATAATACTACATATACCAAACTTTTATTCGTTATAAATGTTAACTACACAACTTTCCATACTTACTAGAAATAATTCTAAAAGAATTGACTGACAAATATTTTGTTCCAATTTAAAAATCTAGAAAGCACTGATACTGCTTGAAGGTGAAAACATAGACAATTACTGACATTGGTGTCTATATTTGGCAAATATAATATCCTGCGCAAAATTATAGACAAATAATTTTTATGCAGACTTTACTATTTGCCAGTATTAATCATCAGATTCAGTAATTTTCTGATATTTCATTTTCAGATATTTTTAGAGCCTCCTAGATTTTTAAACTGAAACATAAACTTTATTATCAATGTAAAATTAAAAATCTATATATAAAAAATTTTATGTTACAAATTGATGAAATTTGCTGATTTGCTAAGTAGCCAGATTTTTTTCAAAATTAAAGTGATTTCCCTAAAAATCGTTTCTAAAGAAATCGTAGCTGGCCATGGATTTTCAACTGCATCATAATAATTGCTTCAGCAGGTACATCCTGCTACTTACTATATACAAAAAAAAATTCAATAGAACTGATCTACCCAAAAATTGGGTGACCTGTTTTTTTTTCGTTCACACTGTATAACAATATAATGTTCCGAGGAGTTTTAAAAAGTGCGCTCAATAATTGTATAACACTTATATTCTTGCTTGAGACAAAACATTTTTTTTGATCGTGAATTTGTCATTCACGAAAAGTAGCAAATTTTTTTTGTAAAATATACCATTTTTTAAGACCTTTTCAAGTAGTCAGTCAACATATTTTCTTTATTAGTTTTACGTTCAAAATCGAAGTTTGGTCTTAAAATAGCATTCTAGAATGTTGAACATAAAATTAGATTGTTAAAGAACCTTTGTATTTAAATATATATTTAGATTACTACAGTTACACAAAAAACATTTTTTTTATTTACGGAACCCTTCTACAGTGTTTGATATTTGCCCCAAGGCGAGGTACCGTATTTCCAATTAAAATAATAAAGGATTTTTCGAGCATAACACTCGAATATACATATTACGATTTCATACACGATTTGACAAGGAGTCTCCACCCAGTTTTAGTAAAAGCGGCTATAATTGACGCCAAGGACACAGGAGATTAAATAGGTACTAATGGCAAAAATTACAAGTACCTCATGCATTCCTTCAACGTACATTCTAAAAACAATAGCGACGAACTTTATAATTATACCTCAATGATATTATTAAATGGAACGAATTCCTTTTCATATAGTCAGACACGGGATTATTAGGAATCATTAAAAAGTAATTTATGCACCTATAAAATTAAAGTGTAGTGCTACACGACTGTAATTCATTTATACGTATTTTTGAAAGGATTGACTTGAGCTAAAAGTTATGCTAATTTATGAAATGTTGTATTTACATTTAAAATTATTATTAGTAAGATTTTGTCTTTAATTATTAACGAAGAAAAGTTATACTACAAAATTGTGAAAGATATTTACATTTTTTAAAACCAAATAGTTCATTACCTAAATAAAAGGTTAGAAAGTAGACGGAAATTTGACAGTTTAAGGAATTAAAGCTCACATTTTTTAAATATCCTGATCTATCACACAAATCTAGTTTTTCAATTATTCGGACTTAAAATCAATGTTTTATGGATAAAATTTAAAAAATGCTGATTATTAGGAAATAATCAAGTTCTTTTACTTATTTTTTAAAAAGTTTTCAATAGAACAAAATTCGATACACTGTATGAAAAATTGGACATATTTTAACTCAATAATGTATCAATTTCTGTCCACATTAATTGAGTGAAATTCTCTTCTATTAGTATGAGTACCACTAAAATTTTATGAATGAAAATGAGTTTTAGTTATAATATTATCAAAAATTTGTAAAATTATCAAAATGCCCCATATTGACTGTATACTCAATAATTTCACTCAGGAGCTTTTTGCTTTCACTCAGACCGATTTATTTATAGTCTACCATCGTTTCAAAAACGACAGTGCTATGCATTTCGCTATTACATGAAAAAAAGAAAATCCAGAAATCATAATTTGGTCCTAACTATGAAAGAAAATACTACAATACATGCAATTTATAGAAATGTATTGAAAATTAGTTAGTCTTTAATATTATATACACTTTCCTTTCTTAGTTACCTTGTTTCTTCCTCTTAGTTTAATTTGTCACGATTTTATGTTTGCATAACTCAATTTAGTTTCAATGTAAACTTTTTATTTATTTTTTTGAAGTCTTTTGTATTTTCCTTAATGTTTTCACTTATTTTATTTATTTACTATTCTCTTAGGCAATTTTTTCCAATTTTCCTCTCAGTTTTTGAGTTTCTTTTGTGTTATCAACTGTTTCATTTTCTTCTTCTGTTCTTTTTAGTATAATATTTAAGTAGTCCTTTTATATTGTACCTAAAATCGAAATTAGGACCTCATAATAATTTTGAACCCATTTTTTGCATCCCATTTTCGATACCTTGCTGGGTATCTCAGTTATTACTAAAGAAAGTTGCCCTCTTTGCTAACGTTAGCCACATTCTTAAAGAATAGTATAAAGATAAAAACAGTTCTTTGATACGTTTTTCATTTTTATAATTATAGTTACCCCACTGATGTAAATAAACATTGAAGTGACGTTTAAATGCGTTTGTTCACAACAAATGGTATTTGCATAAATTACAACAAAAAAATTATGATTTAACTTAATGTAAAAATATTTTGGCTAACAATAATACCAAGAACTTTAATTCTGAGTTATACTTATACTCGTTATTTTTGATATTCATAACCTTCTATTGAAATAAATTTTATATTGACAAGACAGCAATCAAGGGTTATATTAATTGAATTTGTTGGATTTTTATTATTTTAGACAGTTTTAGATCTAATAAACGTGATTTCATTGAATGTGCGCTTTCTGGCAGATACACATTGACGAAAAATACCGTTGAATTTAACATAAACAATTTATATTTAATATGGAGTTAACATTTCCATTCATTACCTTCCAGATCCTCGTTGCTTTTACCGTCTTGGCCGCCACCGCTGCCTCCGGCTCACCCCACGGTCTAGGCCTCGGTCTCGGTCACGGTTATGGCGGTCACGACCTTGGCCACGGTGCTGGTCATGTCGCCATCGTCAACCCCCACGCCCTTAGCCCCGTTGGACCCTCTGGAATAGTCACCGGACACGGAGCTTCTGGACCATCAGGCGTAGTTACCGGACATGGTGCTGCTGGACCTTCTGGAATCGTCACCGGAGCTGGACCGATTGGACCCACCGGACCCGCTGGACACGGACACGGACATGGACACGCCGTTGTAGCTGCTGCCCCTGTCGTACTCGCCGCCCCAGTCGCCGCTTACGGAGCTGGACACGGAGGTTGGGGACATGGTGGACATGGTGCCTGGGGACTCGCCGGACACGGTGGCTGGGGAGGTCATGGATTAGGCGTTCATGGTGGTCATCATGGCTGGTAAACGAAGTGTACAGAAATCAGAGCTGCCCTGTGTATGATAATAGAGTATTTTTTATAATTTTATAAATATTTAAATAAATGTATAATTTATTGCTGTGAAGTATTTGTTTTATTCATTTTATATAAAGAAGAATAGTAATTAGGATTAATTAATTAATTGATTAATTAATAATTAGGATTAATTAATACAAAGGCAAAAAACGGAAAAGGAAAACATTTTAAAAGTAATTTATAGTAAATAAAATAAATATATCTTTTTATCATAAAAAAATACGCGTTATGATCCAGTATCTGCAGTCTCTAATATAGTGTGACATTCTACTAAACCAATTCACAATGAAAAATGTATTTTCTGAACATAATAAAAAGTGTGGGGTGTATAATCTATAAAAATTAAACTTCAGCTTCCTGATGACATTTGTAATAGAAAAGTCTTACACGAAAAAGTTCTATCTTCGCGTTTTTTTTGTAAATTAAAGTTAATTTATTCAACGAAAATGAAGGCTGACCCTGTGTTATTTATTACAAATTTTAGAAATGTTTTTATGAGACCCGAGATGCAATCTTATAATTTAATAAGTCATTATAATCTAATACTAGTAATACTAAAAGAAGGTTAGGTTACATTGTCAAAAAATGTGTGCAGTCAACTAATTTTGTATTTGTACTGAATTCATTATTCACTTAATTATTAATTATTAAGCATCGTCCATCGACTCATCAGTGTTAAAAAGTGAAAAATTCCAGATAAAAGTTTTTATTTTCCACGATAGTGACAGTGTAATTTGTATAAAGAAGTAAAAAATAAGAATAGCGTGCCGATTACATTAAAAACGAGATTATTATTTCTTCCTTTGCTTAATTTTTTAGTTTGTCCACAAACTAGTTATACAATGAACCGAGAAAACAATGTCGACATGGTGTTAGTGTATGGTGCAGCCGGAGAAAATGCACTCACGGCGACTGGGTTGTACCGGGAACGATGGCCACAACGTCACCCCCCATGTGCAAATACAATCCTACAGCGCGTTCAGCAAGTGCGAGATACGGGAAGTGTTATTCCTCGAGGAGAAGGATGTGGTCAGCAAGTCAACCTTAATGTGGGAGATGCAGTGTTGGAAAATCTTGACGAAGACCTCACAATTAGTACTCGACGACTCGCACAGCAAGTAGGAACTTCATCTCGTACCGTACATCGCATTTTAAGGCGCCAGCTGTTGCACCCATATCTGCAACCAGTTCAACAGATTGTACCCCCAGATTGTGATCAATCAAATAAACTTTCCTGCTTATGTTTGTGTAACAGATGAGACGACATTTACCCATGATGAAGTGAATTTCCATAATATGCATATGACGTCATCTTCGTTATTTTAAATGGAACACCCTGTATATTATTTTAATTTTGGATTCTATGTCAATTTTTAGGTGAACTTTCATAAAGGTTTCCTATTCTAAAAGTTAACCGTTTTTGATATATTTAATTTTTTTCAAGAAAAATTAAAAAATCATTGCTTAACTTAAAAAGATGTGTATTTTACAATAATAAAGTTAGAGCTATAAAATTTATAGGGGACATAACTAAAACTCTAAGCTTCGCTGCTATAATTTCAAAATGACTTAATTTCATACAGGGTGGTAGTAATGTAATGCCGAATTTAGTCAACTTTAAACCATCTTAACTTATTTTTTTTAATGGAACACCCTGTATATTTTTGCGCAACCTGATGAACAATTTTGGTCTCTTTCGAATGGTATAATGATTCCCTATAAGCTATTTTGTCTGTGATAAAACTATAATTTTAATGCACTAACAAAAACCCATTAGTTTTTCATGATTACTTATCTGAAGCAAGTTTTTTTATTGATCTTCTTCAGAACTGTTAGCAGACAATTCATTGTAGGATGTTGGAAAAGACCAATGCATTCTAAATTGTGAACTTTCGTTCACTTACATTACTTATTACTTCATTTTAACACAAACACAAACCCCATATTTGTCATTAAGTACACTAAAAGAGAGGATGTATGATGTTTAAGTTTCATATACAATGTAATTTTTTTTCAAAAAGTTCACTTTAGTTTAATGTGACTCTATTTTTCGTAGATCCTGTATATGGAATTGAAATACTGACAATACAGCTAAAATAGTGAATAAATAAAGTGATTCTGAAAAAGAAATTTAAACTTCTATTGTGGGAAGTGAGAAGACAAAGTCAGAAAACCAGTCTTTATAATTTATATCACCTGGAAAGAAACAGATTTGTTTGTGCTGCAATATTTTTAATTTCTGCATGGTATGCATTTCACTTTGTATAAAATCATATTCATTGACACGCTGATATTTGTCAGATTGACCTCTAAAAGAGATCCGCTTTATGTAGTCTAAAAAACATTTAGAGCAATAGGAAACATATCAAAGACTTTTCTTCCTGGAAAATTCTAATGAAACAGTTTTTCACATAAAAACTTATTTACTATTGCTTGAAATCATTATTTCGTCTATTAAAAAATTACCTAGTTTAAAAATAACTAAATATAATAATTTCTTGATCACCTGCGGTGCAAAATGTGTTGCAATTTTTCAGTTTTTTTTGGATTTTGTATTATTCACGTATTGTAGAAATTATCCTTACGTTAAGCTTCTTTATATTTCTGAGTTATATTGCACATCTGTTTAAAGAAAATCATGAAATAAAAGTCAATGTAAGATATTTTCATATATTTAAATAAGAATACTGTACAATAAGTTCATCATTCCTAATCGTTTACCATCCATGACCTCCCAAAGCGAGTCCGTGACCTCCGAGACCACCCCAAGCACCATGTCCAAGACCGGTCAAGGGAGCGGCAGCAGCCCATGGGGCGGCACCCCATGGAGCGGCACCCCATGAGGCGGCAAGAGGGGCGGCGTGAGCAGCGACGAGTCCATGTCCAGCTGGTCCGGTGGGTCCAATGGGACCCGCACCAGTGACGATTCCAGATGGTCCAGCGGCACCAGCTCCGGTCACCGTGCCGGATGGTCCGGAAGCTCCGTATCCGGTGACGATTCCGGAGGGTCCAACTGGGCTAAGAGCGTGGGGGTTGACTCCTCCCCAGATGAGTCCGTGACCTGAAGGAGCGGCGGATGCGGAGACGGCCAGGATGGCGAAGGTGGCGGCGATCTGAAACATTGTTTTGGTTATTTTTTTTTAACCCCATATCATAAAATTGTATCTTTTTTTCAAAAATAAATATAAGTGAACTGTTAAATATTTCGAGCGCTAAGTAACGAAATAATTGTTTTATTTATTTTTATGTTGCGAAGTACCTATTGATTTTGTCATTAAGAATGGAGAGTTATTCTCTGCATCAAACAATATTTTTCATAAAACTATTTCAAAATGTTGTGAAATTTGGTGAAACAGGAAATCTAAATGTATCAAAATGGAAGAATGATATAGAAGAGAAGATAAGTAAAGGTTATGTGGCTATCAATAAAAGTCTTGATATACTCAGAGGAAATTTGTTGTTTCAGACGAATTTCATATTATATTATATCGAAGATGTCCTACTTCGGGCACCAAGTTTATTAAAAATTGTATGATTATTCCACATACTGTCGAAAATGTACACATGTTTGAAGGTGGTCGAAGTTTCTAATTCAGCATTGATATTATTCGATAATTCATGGAAAAATGATTTGCAATAAAGCTGAACCACAGCATTATTAGGAACCTAGTTTTTGCAATTTTAGAACAAATAAATTGATTGCTATGAGTTTTAAAACTTGTTCAACTAAAATAAATTAATTAAAAAAAATAAATATATGTAAAGCAATTGACTAAATTAAATTAATAAATAATAGCTGCATAATAATGATTTTTTTTGTTCTAGGACAAATAAAGTATTTTGAAGTATTTAGTTAACTAATTTTTGTTACAAGAAAGCTTTGTTGAAGAAATAATATCGTTTTTCAAAAACTAATTTTATAGATCATTTTAAATGTTTGTAGTAATATATTTATAGAGACCCAAATAATTTGAGTTGTAGAGATATACAAGGTTGTAGATATTACTTAATTGTTTATCTAGGTAATCAAACATTTTATTTTTATACAATTTTTTTTTAAGAATTTGTACTTACAACTTTATTTTCTTTTAAAAAATTTGCTAACAATTATTTAATCCAAACCGAAATAAAAACAACAGGTTTCCTTATAAAGAAGAAAGGGTAAATATTTAGGATTTCTAGCCTACTATTTTTTAGAACCATTTAAAAATTTCCAGGTACCTAGTTTGAAAGAATTTTTATATTTTTAACTACAATCCATTACATCCAAATATAGAAAGTGTTAGGTACTCCTAACCCTTAGATTTATTAAAAATATAAAAAAGTACACAAATAATGATGTCAACTGAAAGCATATACAATAATTAAAATGAATTTCGTCTTAATTAAAAAAAGAATTAACATATTATTGAGGTACTTGTTGAGTGATGTAAAAAAGAATTCATATAGATCAGATTCTGCATAATATTTTATAGTATTTATATGTTTTTTGTCTTACCAAAGCGTTCATTTTGTTGTTAGTTCCTTAGATTGCACAGTGAACTGATACAGTTTTGAACACGAACTGAGCTATATATAGTCAGATACAATGCAATGGACCTTCATATCTCGTCAAATCTGAGCATATAAATTTTGGTGAAATGTAGGTACACTCCTGAAAATGGTACTGGGAGTATGTAAATTTTTTGAACGTTACATCACTGCGTCAACAGTGTATTGACAAAAGGAAACAACTGTTCACACACATTTTTTTTTGGTTGAATGTTTAAAAAAATGGTGTGTTCGTGACAAAGGCTTTTCTATGTTTTAGGACAGCATATGTTTTACATCCACAGTAAGATGTGTATTTAAATTTATTAGGAAAATTTGTCTCAGTGGTTCACATATTGTAATACTACAAGTTTTTTGAAAACAATTATTTTTTTCGCGAAAATGTGACATTTTTTGCTAGAGCTTTCAAAACTTCTGCTGTAACAATGCAACACAAGATAAAATGACACAAACTTGTTATCTGATATAAAAAAATTGTTTTGGAATCTGAATATTTCTGTTTGTTTTAAAATAAATAATGTTTCTAGTTCATAGTGTCCATTAGTAGGATAGTAGGAACAATATGTTAGAAAATAAGGTAACATATATCATACAAAACAACGCTTGAGCAAACTGTTTTTCGGAATAATTTGATACTGACAGTTTCATTTGTTTTCCTTAACAAAGTAGTATAGAATAATATTGTAATACAGGGAATGTAACTGTTCCATTGAGGAATACTAGAGGGTTAACTAAATATTGGCAACAAAGTAGATGACAAGAGATGAAGGATGAATATAAATACTGAAAATATTTACTATAAGTTCTGTAAACCAAGTAGCAATCAATCAGTTTGTATTATGACTTGGGATAGAAATACGTATCTGTTCCCTCATTTACTTTAAATATATCCGTTATACAGTGTTTTGTCTCTCTGTATTTTAAAAATAAAAGCCGATAGGCTCCTGGTTTATAGAAAAACGAAATCCAATTTTTTGATGTTCTATCGGTTCCTAAATTTATGTCATCTGTTTTCAAAACACCCTGTACTAAAAATAAGTCTCTGAAGTGACATAAATATTTAATCGATGATGAACCAGCTATTCTTGTGAAATATATTCTTAGAAAATGTAATTTTTTTAGTTGCCCATTTTTTATAATGAATTTATGTGATTTGTCTGAGCTGGAAATATGAAACTTCTTAATTACAATCGTTTTCATTACTCAAATAATATATATAAAAACCGATTAAGAAATTGTGTTACCAAATTTTCAAAAGTTGAGAAAAGTATGACAAAAAATCAAACGCGCAATGATAGAAAATAGTACTCGATTGCTCTGACAATAAGGTAAGTAGAAACTTAAATATATTTCACATAGCTTTTATAGGCCAATCATTAGAGGTTTTGTTTGTGACGAAAATACTAGTAGTAAATATAAAAGTCAGTCTGTATATACAGGATGTCCGGGAAAATGTGGAAAATCTCTCGGGCGCAGATAGAACACGAAAAAATAAGATGATAAGTTCCTATAAAATTTTTTCGTACAGGAGATATGTGCCCCTGACGGACGCAGCTGGAAATCGTTTTTTCTTAAATAACTTTTAAAGTACTTAATATAATTTAATAAAAATTTTATGTGATGGACACTAGTAAGAACGTCTTAAAATAGCGTTCTTGAGACATATTTAGCTTTTTTAGTTTTTAGGGGTGAGCTAAGCTTTACAACTTAATGCCTAAATTTTTAACACCCTGTATGATAGACTTTAAAATAATAATTCTGGGTAGCTTCAACCTTAGACTAAAAAAAAGGTACTCTTGTTTATTGTCGATAAAATGAACCGTTTACGAGAAAAAGAATAATAAACGAATTTATGTTTTATTTTTAATAAAAAGGGCCATGATTTCTATTTTTTTTTTCTCTACAACAAAGTGCGATACGAAAGTCATTCAAAAAACAGGAAAGTTTCATTTTAATGTTTTATCCGAAAAAATACAAAATTAAAAAAAACGCAGTGGTGTCCCACTACACCAATTGTTTGAGTGTCCCACAGGAAAAAATCCAGAGGCGTTAGATCGGGAGATCGAGGAGGCCAGGCCATTATAGCATTCAGATTGCTTCGTTAGTTTAGGTTTAAAAGCAAAAAACTAAAAAAATGCGTTTTTTGCACAAAAATGTTTATAAAAAATTAATTAATGGTAAATTGGAATAGGAAACATATAAGCATATACAGGGTGTCCCGAAATTAATGGGACACAGAGCAAGGGTAGATTCCTTACATCAAAATAATGCGATTAAGCCAAACTTATCTTGGTCTATAGCTATTTTGATGTAAGGAATCTACTCTTGCTCTGTGTCTCATTATGTTCGGGACACCCTGTATACGTATATTTTACAGACTGTCTTTTATATGATGGCACAGTCCGTTTGTTACTAGTATTTTGTCACAAAATCAGTGACTTAATGCTCTGTTGATTGGCCTATTATTCCTATATCCTGTACGATAAGGGGGGAAAACAGGGTGTGGTATTTCCATCAGACCACTATGTAAATATACAGGGTGTCACGAAGAATTTTACATACTTCTACATTAAGGGGAAGATCAAATGTCCATTAAAAAGTATGTAATCCCTTTCTCTATTAATATACAGGGTCATTTGCAGATTTAGGTCAAAAATTCTTTTCGATACAACATTTGAAAGGTTTGTTTTTAAATTTTTTTGAGAAACTATGTACTGCTGGCTGATATTCGACTGACAAACATTCACAAATTCCAGAACCGGTCCCAAAAAAATTAATTAGAAGAGTCTTTAAAAAAAATCACCTTCTCTGCTATTTTTTTTAATGTATCTGGAAACCTATGTGTGACTTTTGTCACACTTTTATCGAATTTTTTACAAGTAATCAATTCTTTGACTATACGAAAATCAACAACACATTTAACAATTCGATAAGAAAAATGTATAAGGACAGCTGGGGTTCATTTTGAAAACCTGTTGTAACTTCTAATAACTTCTCTGTTTTTTTTTTGGTTTCTGAATTCGTCCTGCTTTTGGTAGTTTTAGTTTTTAATTTTATTTTACAATTTTTCTTATTGTACACAAATCTATTTGATCAATTCAAAAATGCATGAGAGAATTTAAAATAAATACGGATTCGATTTCTTTAATAACAAAAAATTAAAAATTATTAAAGACTGTAAAGTAAGTAAAGTAATTAAAGTAACTAATTGCAATTAAAAGTTTTTGCTTTCATATTTAGTGATTTTTTGTATACCTTCAGTATATTGATTCGGAGATCATGTAAAATTATTATTTTTTTACTAAACGATAAAGTCACTTTTCTTAACATTCGTATTTAAACGTTGTAGGAAATAAAAAACATACATACAACAAATTTTAATATATTTAAATTAAAATGCTGTACAAAAATTCTTTGTTCGGAATCATTCACCAACCATGAGCACCCAAAGCGATTCCATGACCACCAAGACCCCATGCGCCATGTCCGAGAGCTGCTACTGGAACAGCAGCAGCCCAAGGAGCGGCAGCGGCCCAAGGAGCAGCATGAGCAATCAGAGGAGCGGCACCTACAACACCGTGTCCAGCTGGTCCAGTGGGTCCGATGGGTCCTGCACCGGTGACGATTCCAGAAGGTCCAGCGGCACCAGCTCCGGTCACCACGCCGGATGGTCCAGAAACTCCGTGTCCGGTCACGATTCCAGAAGGTCCAACTGGGCTAAGGGCGTGGGGGTTGACGCCTCCCCAGAGAAGGCCATGACCTGAAGGAGTGGCGGATGCAGAGACGGCCAAAAAGGCGAAGGTGATTGCAATCTACAAGAAAAATGACATTGTTTAATATTTCTTAAAAATGTTCGAAGATTGTGCAGATATTGTTGAGGCGTTAACTAGGGTTTGGTAAAAGTAATTCTACATAACTCTCATATTTTTAACATTGTCTTGTGTATTAAATTTAGACGTCGAAAGGTGTGTTATAGATTGGGATCTAAATGTGTGTACAAGAAAATAACATTGCCATGCATTTACCATTGAACAAAATTATTTAACAATTTTTTTAAATCTAGTTGAAGAGCAATAAAGTTTAATTTATCAAAAAGGAAGTACCTATACCAAGAATTGTACTGTATATATTTTTTTGTCTTACCAAACCGTTCATGTTTTCTGTTTTGTTGGTTACTCAGGTCAGGTATACAGCGAACTGATGCAGGTTGGTTCGTTGAAATGATTTATATATAGGTGCAACTGTTAGACCTTCGCAGTTATTAATAATTAAGTATATTGTTATGACATATATGTATTTTGGTGAAATGATTCTTCCAAAAAGTGTTTCAGGGGTATGTAAATTTTGATATAATTACGTCATGTTGCTGAACATTAGGCGGAGTGAAATTTTTCCTATTTCCGTGTTTGAAAAATATATTAGGAAGTTTTGTTTCACTAAATTATTTTTTTTATGTACCTATTATTACGTGTATACGGATAATAATTTGCAATGTCTACATGCTATTTACTGACACGGTTTTGAACCAGTAAGAAGCTTTAGTTGTTGCAATTAAATTTTTGTGCCAAATAAAAGAGAATAAAACAGATTAAGAAAAAAATTGAATCAAACTTTTATAACTAGTGCTATACTCAAAATCAAAGCAAGTCAAAATTGCTTCCGCATTTTTTCTATTTTAACTAGTATTAGGATCATATATTGATAAATATTTTTCAAGAATTTGTAGACAGAACCATGGATATGTGCCTTTTTATTTTAACTCAAGTTTATTATGAATGTTCACTTCATGAGTATCGTTCCTTTTTCAGGAATATTGTAAAAATGTAATAAAAATAGAAGTTTTTTTATTAAAAAACATGAACTTGGTTACGGTACGAGAAAATAGGTACGCCCTGTATATTGTACCTACCTTCTATAGTTCTTATAAGAAAACAGCGATAATTTTTTAAATAAGCTGTGAAATAGTAGATAGATAAAAATACCTCAAAAATCTTTAAAAAAATAAGTACATAGTTTTTCGTTACATACTTATCGGAAACTTAAAAAATAATAGAGTAACTTGTATTAGATTCAAATTGAAAAATGTTTTTTAAGAATTTACATGAAGGAAATGAAAAACCAGATCTTGTTTTAGCTGAAATTAATAAGAAATGTAGGCCTCGTAAATACGTTGTAGGGTAACATATAATATGTTTCCTTTTGTAGAAATAATCTAAAAATTGTACCTTCCCATTTAAAAGCATGAAGTTGATAACCTTACGAGACAACTGGGAAGCTCTGTATATTCTACTTAATTCAACTTTTATAATTCTGGGAAGAAAGCACCGTTAATTCATTAATTTTACTTCAGATCTTCAGTTGCTATAAAATATGTCCATATGCTGAGATAGCATCAAAAAGTACTAAACTGGATGAAAATGGTTACACAATGCAACAAAATTTGTCAAGGTAGCTTCAAAATTAATCAAATTTATTTAAATCAGCTGTAAAATAGTACATTAAAATAGATAAAAATACTTTAATTAAAAATATATTAAAAAACGGAAAAATACATCAAAATAGTGTGAGAAATAAAAATAAAAAACATAGAAATACCCCTTAAACTTCAAAATATATTGGAACAGTTGGAAAAATTTTGAATACCTACCTTCAAATTGTGGAAATACAGAGTGATTAATTAATAATGGGAAAACCGAAAGCTGTAGATACTACACGTGAAATGATGACCATTGGCGCAAACATGCTTTATCCGAAAGTTGATAGTTTCGGAAATACAGGGTGTTGAAAGTTAAAATTTTAAATCGTTTTTTTGCTATTATCCTAAAAATATATAGGTTAGGAACTTGAAAATTTGTGAAACAATTTTTTTAAGCGATAAATAAGATGCGTGTTGCACAGCGTTGCTCATAGAGGGCGCCACTTACGACCAGTTTTACCGAAAATTTAGTTAATAACTTTTTACCTTGTATGTCTAATATGAAGCTTGATTCAAAACCTGAAAGAGCAATCACTTTTCCATTAATTATGTACTCTTGTATCATTCAGTATCTGGATCCGTTTTCGAGAAAAATCGATTTAACGAATGCTACGTTTTGATAATACGAGAAATTAAAAGCGAAACAAACAGTTTCCTTATGTTATTACAACAATAAAACAAATGAAATACGTAATAATGATTTAAAGTAATTGTTCGAAGAATCCTCCGTTGACATTTACACATTTTACACAACGTTTCCTGAGAGATCTTCGAGTTTGAAACAACATTGGGATTGCGTCTGACTTCGTTGGAAGCGATTTGTATTCTTTGCCACAACTCTTCACGCGAACCAACAGATTATTTGTACACTATATCTTTCATTCGAGACCAAATAGAAAAATCAAGAGGATTGAAGTCCGGACTTCTGGGTGGCCAAGCTTCCACGTCTTGAAGAAGTTCCATTATTTAAGAGGAGACACGACGGAGCTCCACCGCATTTTTCTCGGCCAGTGCGTGCATATTTAAATGCAGTTTTTCCAAATAGCTGGATTGGCCATGTAAGCATTTTTCCCATTGTTAAATGAATCACCATGTATTTCAACAGGTCAAAGTTCATCGACGGAAGGTGAAAGGTTAATGATCCCGGGGCCAAAGGTGAATGGTCGGAAGTCAAAGTCAATTAATTTTAATGATGTTCATTGACCTTTCAGCTTTGGTCATTGGGGTTTAGAAGTGTTTTGAAATATTTTCGGTTATTTTGAGGTTTTTGTTAGTTTAAACTAAGTTTTGAGTCAATTCAATGATTTCTTAAGCTATGTTAATATATAATTTTGAAGTTTCTTGCAGGTTAAATTCGAATCGATGTAGTTTGATGTATTGTGTACCTGTTTCTATCGGTTTATTATGAAAAAAATATTCTTAAATATGTGCAGATTCCAGGGTAAGCCATCCCTATTTTAATTTTTTATATCTCAAGATTTATTCGAAATTTGTTCATCAGGAAAGTTCTCTATGTGGGCCTAGCAATTAATTGTTCCAAAAAAAAAACAGTATAGCTCTCACGCTCCATTATCAAAATAATTTAATTTTCGCGAACCGACACTAATTTTTTAAAACTTTTATTTATTATTTCGTTTTATTTCGTGTTTTTATACATTTCGGAATATCCTAAAGCTATTTTATGGTTTTTCGAGGTATTTAGTAGTAGCATTTATATAATTTCAAAGTTTTTAAGATATTTTTCATCATTTAGTCAATTTTGAGGTATTTCCAGGTGTTTCAAACGATTGTGACAAGGTTTCAAAATAATTTCCAATGCACTTTGGGGCGTTTCAAACATTTCTTAATCTTTTTGTAAACTTTACGTAATTTTTCTGAAAGGGACAAAGAAAAGCAAAAAATTGTGTAGGAAATTTTCATATATTTAAATTACTGTACAAAAGTTCTCAGTTCTCGACCATTCACCAACCATGAGCACCCAAACCGAGTCCATGACCACCAAGACCCCAAGCACCATGTCCAAGAGCGGCTACTGGAGCAGCGGCAGCCCATGGAGCGGCAGCGGCCCATGAAGCACCGTGAACAACGGGGGCGGCAGCAATGAGAGGAGCAGCAGCTACAACACCGTGTCCAGCTGGTCCAGTGGGTCCGATAGGTCCAGCACCAGTGACGATTCCAGAAGGTCCAGCGGCGCCAGCTCCGGTCACCACGCCGGATGGTCCAGAAGCTCCGTGTCCGGTGACGATTCCAGAAGGTCCGATTGGGCTAAGGGCGTGGGGGTTGATTCCTCCCCAGACGAGGCCATGACCTGAGGGAGCGGCGGATGCGGAGACGGCCAAGAAGGCGAAGGTGATTGCGATCTGGAAGAAAAATAAACTTTGTTAACATATTGTTTGAAAATGTTTAAAGGTCGATCATGCAGATAATGTAGAGGCGTTAACTATAAAAATTTTTAAATAATGTTATATTTAATAAAAGTAATTCTACACAACTCACATTTTTTTAACATCATCCTGTGTATTAAATTTAGACAACGAAAGGAATGTTAAAGATTAGGATCTAACTTTGTATATTGAAAACAATATTACTTTGAGTGAGTAAACAAAATAATAATTTTTTTTTGCTCTAGTTTTACTGTAATAAATTCTGACTTATACAAACAGGAACAGCCACAAAGTGTTGTATTGTGCTTGAAGATTTGTGTACAACATTTTGTCTTACCAAAGCATTCATGTTGTCGATTTGTTTGTTGCTTTAGGTCGGTGTACAGCGAACTGATGCAGTTTCGTTGGTTGAAATGATTTATATATTGGTGGTAACTGTTAGACCTTCGTAATTGTTCGTAACATGTTTAGGTGAAATGATATTCTTCCGAAATGTGTTTCAGGGGTACGCAAACTTTAATATAATTACGTCATCCTGCAGAACATTGGACAGAGTGATATTTTTCGTATTTCCGTGTTTGAAAAATATATTAGGCAATTTTGTCTTTGTTTCTGCCAAATAATTTTTTATGTATTATTACGTATAAGCATAATAGTTTACAATGTCTACCTATTTTTTAGTAACATCGTTTCAGTAAAAAGTAATAAAATAATGTTTAAATTCGTAATTTTACATTGGCCATTTTGTACCAATAACACAGCGTAGGTAAAACGCAAATGAAAAAAAAAGCACAATCGATCTTTTTCATTTAACAAAGATACACTGAGCAATGGTTCTATTACACGTTTATCAAAATTATTTATGCTGATTTAAAAAAAAATAATAACTAGTATTAGATTCAAATTGAAGTACGGTAAATTTATTAACAGTAGGAAAAAATTAGGACGTCATGTATATTCTGCCTGATTTTGATTCTGCAATATTGGGAAGAGATCAAAATATGTCCAATGACATCTAAACACTTTTAGAAAGCATTAAAATGAATCAAAACGGTTTCAGAAGACAACAAAATACATCAGAATTGCGATAGATATACGTCCCCAATGTCTAAAAATTCTAATTACACAGTCCCACAAAAAAAAACCGAATTAAAACCTTATATTCGTGATTGGCGGCTTTGAAAACCACCGAGGAACAAGTTTCAGCCATAATCTTCAAATTTTGAATGCTTTTTCGATTTTTGCATCCGCTATATTGGATCCGCCATCTTTTATTCAGGAATTTTCGTATTGTGACTTCAGATTCGTAATCAGCGAACCCAAAAACCTGCGTAGCAAAATTCAGGCAGAAATATTTAATAGAAAAATGTGTGACTTAAAGGGGTAAGTCGGACCGGTTTGTAAGTGGTTTCCAACCCTCTGAGGGATAAGTTATATTATATTTTTTTGGAATGTTGTCTACCAACCTACATTCATATATTTGGTGGAATAAAATAAATATAAATTGTTTTGCACAACATTCGTTATTTGATCTTAGGCTTGCAATTAACCCCCTTGTAGGGGTGGGTGTGGATTTAATTTGCATACATTTCTTTCTGATGCTCAAAATATTATTTTAAAATTGTTGCTTTTCATTATAACCTTATTCTTACTATTTCACCCTACTTTAGGGGACATTTTTGCGTTTTACTAAGAAATGTCTTGGTAGATCGGTTTTTGGGCTGCTAATTCGGATTAAGCATAAAAAATACACAAGATCTATGTACTCACATACTTACTTATTGTTAGTGTCCTTAAAAAATAAAATAAATTGTTGGAAAAACTTTGAGTACCTGCAATTTCTAGAAATATTCCTCCAGATCAATGCTCCAAAGCCAAAGTGAATTATATTAGCCCCACCCCCCGATAATTGACGTAATCTGATGTTATTTTGATATATGTTCAAGGTATTTTAATCTATTTTCTGTATCATATTTTCTTTTTCACAGAGGACTTGAAGAATTCAAATTTGGTACACGTTTGGTATTGGAAAAAGAAGCAATGAAAATCATCTTCAAACATTTTATTGACGGTAATGGTGGTATACTAGGGAATATGTGATGCCCTCAATTTGTAAACTTTTCCCTGTCTACGGCTATTTTAAGGAAATAGACTGCATTTCTGAAACATTCAGCGACTTCATACAAAAAATGTCAACCTCACTGATCTGAAATAATATTACCTTTTGCTGAATGAGCTTATGCAGAGCAAGAAAGATATTTTGTAACAATCGATTCATCTCCTTAAAGAAACAAAAAAGTTCATATGAAATAGTTTTTAACTCTTGCGTTTCCCAGATGCATGAATATGATATATGAAACTTCTTTCTATTTCGGAGTAGCAGATGGAATCTTGTTTTTCGTTCTAAATCTAGCAATTTTAAGAGAAATTGACAAGAGGCATTTTTTATGTGAAATAGGCAGATAACCAGAAATTCTCGTTCACATATATCAAATTTGAGTCAGACTCTCTATGTCGGCTGATATTAATGAGAAACAATTTTAAATATAAAGAGCAATAAAAAATAATTATAACACTTTGTCATGAAACAATTTCTAAGAGTTCTATGATCCCTAAAACAATGAAAGATATAGTTTCTTGTGAATGATTCAAGAACCATTGGATATACAAACTTCAAATTTGATACGGTATAGTCCTTCATCGTAACCACATACATATAAAATTTGAATAATAAAATGTATGCATTCTGAAGCTACTTGAAACTACTTTGTTCTCTTATAAGTCCATTTTGATTCATTTCAATGCTTCCTGAATCCGTTTGACGACATATCTTACAGTATTTAGATGTATGTAGGATTCTGAACTGATACCATGAAGTTTGGTGTACTGATGCACTTTGAAACTGGAACTAGTATTATGCGTTCCAACGTTGTAGCTTTTACATATTTCATAGCACCGTAAAGTTGATTTGAAGTATTTCGCTTTATTCCAATGTATGTTTACATATTTTGTAGTATCATAAAGTTGTTTATATATAAACTTTTCTAGGCATTCCGAAGAATTTAGAAGAGTTTCAAAATTTTTCGCTTATTTCCGTAAGAGCGCTTAGGGAGGCGTAAGAAAAAAAATATGTATTTAAATTTTTATATATTAAAAATACTGTACAAAAGTTCTCTGTTCTCTATAAACTACCAACCATGGGCACCCAACGCGAGTCCATGACCACCAAGACCACCACGCCGGATGGTCCAGAAGCTCCGTGTCCGGTGACTACTCCAGAAGGTCCGACTGGGCTAAGGGCACCGGTGACGATTCCAGAAGGTCCAGCGGCGCCAGCTCCGGTCACCACGCCGGATGGTCCAGAAGCTCCGTGTCCGGTGACTACTCCAGAAGGTCCGACTGGGCTAAGGGCGTGGGGGTTGATTCCTCCCCAGACGAGGCCATGACCTGAGGGAGCGGCGGATGCGGAGACGGCCAAGAAGGCGAAAGTGGCGGCGACCTGTAGGCAAAATAAACATAGTTTCGGATTTTTTTCTGAAAAAGAGAGAGATATTTTTCCCGGAACGTCGAGAAATGTGTCGCTTTGTGAATCTGAAAAAATTAATAGAGAAAGTTGTGTGGGCATCATTTTTTTAGTTGTTTTCTCAGTATTCATAATATTAATAATGATTATTTAACTTTCTCAACTACTAATATAATTATTAGTTTGAATTTGTCAAATTTACTGATATGAAAATTTTCGTGTTGTACGACTTTTTTTCTTACCAATGCGTTCATGTTGTTGATTTTGTTGGTTCTTTGGATCGGTTTACAGAGAACTGATACGATTTTGGACGGCTGACTGGACTATATATAGGCAAATGAAGTAACAAATACGAGACCTTCGCAGTTATCCGCATCAGTCAAGTATGTATTTTTGGTAAAATGATACTATCTTGGAGAGGGTATTTGGGGATATGTAAACTTTTGTAGCATTACGTCAGCACGTTGTTTGAATCGAAGAAATTGTCACTTGTATGAAAAATGTGTTCTATACAGTGTGCAAAACAATGTGTCAAAAATAGCAAAGTGTATCCTCGTTTTCGAGATACATAGATAAGGGGTGTTTGTAGTTTAGTATTTAAAAAAATGTTATACTCTTAATATTTCTATGGAAGTATTTTTACTATTCCTGTATAGAGGGTGTTAAAAAATGTGTACTTAAAAGAGTTTAAAAGCGAAAGAAAATCGAAAAAATAGGAACAAAGTTATATGTTTAGAAACGTTTCGCTTTCGAGATACAAAAATCATTTTAAAAAAACAGACTAATAAAAAGCCATATGTTCTAGTATTTTTTCTCTTTTTATCTGACTTTTACTTTACGTTATTTTACAGAGACAGTCTGTGTATAATGAANAGCCAGAGGCGGTGGCGGCGGCAGCCAAGATGGTCTTTTAAAAAATACTCTGAAAATTTCTATGGAAGAATTTTTACTATTCTTGTATACAGAGTGTTAAAAGAATGTATGCTTATAAGATTTTAAAAGCGAAAGAAAATCGAAGAAATTAGAAAAAAATTATATACGTCTAGAAAAGTTTCGCTTTCGAGATACATAAAATCATTTTAAAAACAGACTAATAAAAAGCCATATGTTCTAGTACTTTTCTCAAAAGAATTACCTGACTTTTACTTTATGTTATTTTACAGAGACAGTCTCTGTATAATGAATATACAAAAAGGCGAGTAAAAAAAATTAAAAATCATTTTAGAAAGTAATAAAAAAATTATATGAACATATGTTCGGAAACATTCCATTTTCAAGATATAAGGTGTGGAAATTTGTGTAAAAATAATATGTTTTTATATCTTTCAAACGGATAGACCAAATCAATTGGGTTGACTGTTTTTGATGGTTGTCAGTCTATTCTTAATTTTCTTCATAATTGACATAAACCTATAATATGCTACAGGCACTTTTTTTTAATACCTCAGTGTTTGTATAAAAATAAATCCATTTGAGTATTGAGATGTTTTATTTTGTCCATGATCGCTACATTCAATTCCACACAAGTTAGCGTGGTTTTAGATTCTGTAAACTCTCTTTTAAAATAAATTCATAATTAGTGTTAAATGTTAGGTGCACTTTGATTATCGTTTGCATGTGTTGTAAATTGTTTAATAATATATAAATAATAATATTGTACACCAATACAGAATCGTTTTATGTGTGGACGTGCCTATGGCAATGGACTTGACGCTCGTCGTCTGTACCTTAATCGTACAGTTCCTTTTGTTTTAATATTCACTAGACTTCACCAGAGGCTCCAGAATAGTGGAAAATATACTATAACTCTATTGACACTGGAAGATCTGTATTCAAAATTACTGAAAGGGAAAGTCATTATGTGGTTTTAGTAATTTCTGATAAAAAATAAAGGTAGTTCAGTTACGGTTGCAATCACATACAGAAAAATTTCGTAACCACAACATTATCACTTTTTCAACTGTGATTGATTGCAAAAAAACTAAAGGGTCTTTTACTTATAAAAATAGGCAATCCGTTTTTTATTAAAGCCTACCATTAATGGCGAAATCTGTTTGTGGTAATTTAGAGCAAAACCATAAAATAATAATAGTCATGTCCCATATTTCCTGCACTATTTTAATAATTAAATGTGGAATCTGCATAGGAATTGGCTGCAACAGTAGTTCATGGTAAATATTTCCGGAAAGTATTGTTATTTAGTTATTTATTTAAGAATAAGTATTTACTTAGATACTGTAACATTTTTCAATAAGTAAAATTTATGTAAAGAAAGTTGTGATTAAATGTCGTAACGATGAAATTTTTCAAAATGAATGGAAATTTATCAAAAATATGCTCATAAATAGTCAGTATCCTGTGAATATTGTTGACAGAGTTTTTAAGAATACTAAAAGTAGAACTAATTATGTAAGATAACAAAGAAAAATTATATACACCATAGGAAGGCTATATACTCTTGCAGTATCAGAAAAAATAAGGTGAATGGGCTCGTCTTACCCAGTTTCTACGAACTAACACAAATGTTGTCTTGCTTCACCATAACACAAATGCTTCGCCATAACACAAATGTCCTGCTTCACCATAAATTAATAAGATATCCATCGACTCCCGAATTGCTATACGGATAAACCATTTTTGATATTTGAAAAACTAATGTAAACACTATCGCAAAAACGTAAATACTAACATCGGATTTCAGTATTCGGAATCGCCTGGGGCTTCGTTGAGAGAGAGAGAGCATTGCGCACATCGTACAACATTAAAGACTACAGTATTCCAACGATGTAAAGGTTGAAAATACTATAACTTCAATATTTGGAAAATTTTAGAAAACTCTTGGGAAAACGGTCATAAGTGTGGTTCTGCCACACCATTAAAAGAAAATTAAGAGAGAAAGATACTATTTTGCTGATGATGAAATATGGGTATCAAATTACTGAGAAGAACGACAATAGAATAAACAACATATGATATCTTTAGTTATGGAAGCAGATAAAAAACAAGCAAATTTAAATTATCAAATTTTAACAAAACAGAAAACATTACTATAATTTTTCGAAACGTTGAAGTGAAAAAGCGAAGAAAAAACATCGAATTATATTCTATCTATACATACGGGGTGTTAATGATAAGTTTTGCTAAACTTTAATGACGTATTCTACCGATGAAAATAATCAACTTTTGCTCTATACAAATTTTTGGCAAAACTTGATTATTTTCATCGGTAGAATACGCCATCATTAACACTCTGTATACAGGGTGTCCCAGAATAACGTGTACAGCGGAAGACCACAGATTCGTGGATTCAAAATAGGCTAATTCACCTAATCCAAAATTGCTTCGTTTGGCCGCTAACGCGAAAATTTTTTGAATTTTGTAAATAACTCGAAAACGTATTATTCGAATTTGATTATTTTTGGGGTGTGGACTTTTTTGCTTTCAATATACATATTTTGGTGTTATACAGAGTGTTTTTTAAAACTGACAAAATTGATGTATGGTGAGAATATCCGTTCATATAACTTTTCCTCTTTCGGCAATAATGACAACAATTTTTTATTTGATAGGTGATACCATTTGGTAGACCCTTGTAGAATTTTGATTAAATGAGCGGTTTGGGTACAACAAAATATTTTTTAAATGTATACATTATCTTGCCGCTCATGTTACATTACTTAACAAGTGCTAGTAAGCTCTGATTTTGTAGGTTTCAGTTTGGTCTTGTTTAGGATAGCATTATTATTGGCCCTGTTATTCTACCCAGTAGACTGAGTGTGGATTTTATTTAGAATTTTTGCATCAATCTGTGGCCTTCCGTTGTACACGTTATTCTGGGACACCCTGTAGAAGAGAATTTCTTTTATAGTAGAAAATTTTTCTCTCTGTTAATCCTGAATTAGTTACATTTTTAAAAAGTTAGGCTGCTTTTGGTTTAATTTTACCTTTATTTTAATTAATAGGAGGCCACGAAGTAAAATAAAAAATGAAAGTATAGAAAGATACTGTTTTTTATTTAAATTATAATACTATACAGGTTCAAGCTTCTCCAACATTTACCAACCATGCCCATGAGCGCCCAAGGCGAGTCCATGTCCTCCCAAAGCGAGTCCATGACCTCCCAAACCTAGTCCATGACCACCAAGACCCCATGCACCATGTCCAAGTCCAGCAGCAGCCCATGGGGCAGCTGCGAGAGGAGCAGCCACCAAACCGTGTCCATAGCCGTATCCGTGACCGTGTCCAGCTGGTCCAGTGGGTCCGATTGGTCCAGCTCCAGTAACGATTCCAGAAGGTCCAGCGGCACCAGCTCCAGTCACCACGCCGGATGGTCCAGAAGCTCCATGTCCGGTGACGATTCCAGAAGGTCCAACTGGGCTAAGGGCGTGGGGGTTTACTACAGCGACATGTCCTGCGGCGTGGCCGAGGCCAAGACCTAGACCGTGGATAGAGCCAGAGGCGGTGGCGGCGGCAGCCAAGATGGTGAAAGCGGCAAGGATCTGAGGAATTATGGCGATATTAATACTGAAATTTGTATAAATAAAGAAAGCAATTTTATGTTGAGGTTGAAAACACTTTTCGAACTAAATGACTGATCTGTGGTTAAGATACAAAGACAAATATTTTGCAAGGTAACAATAAAGGTGAATAGATTACATTTTTAACTCGTAGCAAATCTTATGTGGTCACAGATCGTTAATTCCACGTTTACAATGTTTTAGAATGATAACCTCTGACATATAAAGTATAGAAAAAGATTGTACGTAGGTATATTAAAATATATTGGAGTGCAAAACTTGTTTTTGTATAGTAAAAGTAGTCGCAACTGTGATATTGATAAACCAATTTATATTTAATTTGTTTATGACCGATACAATGACAATTGGTATATTTATAAACTCTTAAGAAGCAAGTTGAAATGTTTGTGTGCTATGAATTCTTTATTACTTACCAAGGCGTTCATTTTGTTTATTTTGTTGGTTCCTTAGAGCTCTGGAGGGAACTGATACAGTTTTGTACGCTCCACTTATCTATATATAGGCAGTCGTTAGACCTTCAGAATTAGTAACAATTAAATATAGATTTTTGGTGAAATAATATTCTCGTAGAAAGGATTTCTTTCATAATTTAATAAATTGTTAACATTTTTTTCCTCGAATGTAGATTTTTAATTTAATAAATATACTCATAGAGAAAAGGAATGGTATTGCTTTCTTCAGCTTTTAGTTGTTTACTTCGATTTTCTATACAGGGTGGTACTCGAGTTCTAATAATAAAACATGTAACTTTTAAATTTTTTTAAGGAAAGAAAAAAATCTTCTAACAACTTAAGTTTTAAACCGATCAATTTGTGAAATACGTAGTATTAAAGTTTTTAAAATTAAGTGAAAATAAAAACTGACTGACTGTATACAATTCGAACAGTTGTGGTAATATTGGGAAGAGATATTAACTCCAGAATTTGGATGCTTTGAAAATTCTATAAATCTGTGTGATGTGTAATTGTTTTCCAAATAAAAAATATATTTTATAACTAAAACAAGTCAATTTGTAGTTACTTTTTTAGTTTAAAATTAAACACACAATTAAATAAATAAAAAATAGTTGGAAAATCTTTGTTTTCACAAAAAAATCACAAAAATTTCTTGCTACAAACGCAATTTTTAATGCAATGTGATATTTATAAAAATACGGAGAAGTTTATACTTTGCTCTGCTCGGAAAATTCAAAGTTTCCACGCCAATAATTTTTTTATTTTCATGTATACACAAATGTTATCAAAATAAACAAACATATACACATGTATATTATAAATATCCCTGTTTTTAAAATTCAAAGTATTATGGTTTAAAAGAATATACAGGGTGTCGCGCTTAAATGTGATACAAGCCTGTAGCTTTCTTTATTTTTTGACCTATTTCAAAAATTTTGTTTTAGAATGTAGGATAAAAAAACTCTACCTAACTGTAATGCTGCTGTTTTCACGAAAGTAATATACAGCCAACTAGGACGCGTTTTTTGACGTCAAAACAGCTAATTGATATTAGCGATTTTTCTTCCAAAAAAGAGATTACGTATTCTCATCCCTTAAAATATCTTATCACCAAGTTTCATCAAATTCGATACATCTTCAGACGAGCACTATTTGGCCGTGTATTGCTTTAATAAAAAACAGCAATATCACACTTAGATAGAGTTTTTTTAGCCCACATTCCAAAATAAAAATTTTTGAAATCGACCAAAAGATAAAGAAGGGCGACACCCTGTATATTGTTTTANGAGGGTGTTAAAAAATGTGTACTTAAAAGAGTTTAAAAGCGAAAGAAAATCGAAAAAATAGGAACAAAGTTATATGTTTAGAAACGTTTCGCTTTCGAGATACAAAAATCATTTTAAAAAAACAGACTAATAAAAAGCCATATGTTCTAGTATTTTTTCTCTTTTTATCTGACTTTTACTTTACGTTATTTTACAGAGACAGTCTGTGTATAATGAATATACGAAGCATTAAAAAGATGTGTAAAAAAAAATTGAAAATCATTTTAAAAAGTAATACAAAATTATAAGAACATATGTTCGGAAACATTCATTTTCGAGATATAAGCCGTGAAATTTTTTTTTAAAATAATGTGTTTTTATATATTTCAAATTGCTTGACCAAATTAATTGGGTTGGCTGTAGCGTTTTTGATGGTTGTCAGAGTTGTTTTGTGATTTTAAAGATATATGGGGTGGCATTTTTTTGTTTTATCGTTTTCAAGCTACAATGCTATTCTGAATTTGAAAAATTGACATTACCTTATAATATGCTACATGTACTTTTTTGAAATACTTTAGTGTTTGTATAAATATATAAATAAATCCATTTGAATAATGAGATGTTAGAATTTTATCTATGGCAATGGACTTGACGCTCGTCATCAGTACGCTGAGGCTTACCTTAATTGTACAGTTCATTATGCTTTAATATTCACTAAACGTCACTAGAGGCTCCAGAATAGTGGAAAATGTACTAATAACTCTATTGACATTGGAAGTTCTCTAGGAGACTCTCATTATCTAGTTTCAGTTATTTTTGTAAAAAAGGTAATTCACTTACTGTTGCAATATTGAAAAATATCGTAACAAACTTGGCACTGTTTCAACAGTGACTGATTGTAAAAAAAACAAAAGGGTCTTTTACTTATAAAAAAGACAATCCATTTTTTTATTAAAACCTACCATTAATGCCGATAACTGTATGTGGTAAATTAGAGGAACACCATAAAATAATATTAGTCATGTCCCATATTTGAGAGAAAAGTGGTTTTGCAAGACCTTCTTGATGCTGTTACATAGTTACTTTTTCGGACTATAGAAAATTTTTTTCTGGAAAACTGTTAAAGATAAGTATGGACAACATTACATCAGTCGAAAGGACATTCACCCATGACAATTAATATGGGTCATTCCATTTCATTAAAAAAAAAAAAAATTTCAATTCGTAAGATTATTAAAAGTAGGTCTCAGTATTTCCGAGTCTGAATAACGTACACGTTTTGCTCACATATGGCAAGATAGAGTAATTTATGCCAAAACGAACTGTGAAAACTGCAGGTACATTTAATAAACTCTACCTAATATTAACCAAGGAATTCTAAAACGCAATAATATAGGGTAGTATAGGGTGTTTCATTTAAAATAACAAAATTATGTATAAATATATTTTCTTTACTTGGCCCACATGATTTCAGGCAATCACCCTTTTATAAATTTTACAGTTGCAGACTTACAGAAGAATCCCTTTTAGGAGGAGTACCCTGTATATAAGAGATTTTTTTTATAGTAGTAAATTTTTTTCTCTCTGTTATTCCTGAATTAGTTTCCTTTTTAAATGTTAGGCAGCTTTTGATTTAATTTTGCCTTTATTTTAATTAATAGGAGGCCACGAAGTAAAATAAAAAATGAAAGTATAGAAAGATACTGTTTTTTATTTAAATTATAATACTATACAGGTTCAACTTTCTCCAACAGTTACCATCCATGCCCATGAGCGCCCAAGGCGAGTCCATGACCTCCCAAAGCGAGTCCATGACCTCCCAAACCGAGTCCATGACCTCCCAAACCGAGTCCATGACCACCAAGACCCCATGCACCATGTCCAAGTCCAGCAGCAGCCCATGGGGCAGCTGAGAGAGGAGCAGCGGCTACAACGGGAGCAGCCACCAAACCGTGTCCATAGCCGTATCCGTGACCATGTCCAGCTGGTCCAGTGGGTCCAATTGGTCCAGCTCCAGTGACGATTCCAGAAGGTCCAGCGGCACCAGCTCCGGTCACCACGCCGGATGGTCCAGAAGCTCCATGTCCGGTGACGATTCCAGAAGGTCCTACTGGGCTAAGGGCGTGGGGGTTTACTACACCTACGGCGTGACCGAGACCAAGACCTAAACCGTGGATGGAGCCGGAGGCGGTGGCGGCGGCGGCCAAGATGGTGAAAGCGGCAAGGATCTGAGGAATTATGGCGATATTAATACTGAAATTTGTATAAATAAAGAAAGCAATTTTATGTTGAGGTTGAAAACACTTTTCGAACTAAATGACTGATCTGTGGTTAAGATACAAAGACAAATATTTTGCAAGGTAGCAATAAATGTACATTTTTAACTCGTAGCAAAGCTTATGTGGTCACAGATCGTTAATTCCACGTTTACAATGTTTTAGAATGATAACCTCTGACATATAAAGTATAGAAAAAGATTGTACGTAGGTATATTAAAATATATTGGAGTGCAAAACTTGTTTTTGTATAGTAAAAGTAGTCGCAACTGTGATATTGATAAACCAATTTATATTTAATTTGTTTATGACCGATACAATGACAATTTGTATATTTATAAACTCTTAAGAAGCAAGTTGAAATGTTTGTGTGCTATGAATTCTTTATTACTTACCAAGGCGTTCATTTTGTTTATTTTGTTGGTTCCTTAGAGCTCTGGAGGGAACTGATACAGTTTTGTACGCTCCACTTATCTATATATAGGCAGTCGTTAGACCTTCAGAATTAGTAACAATTAAATATAGATTTTTGGTGAAATAATATTCTCGTAGAAAGGATTTCTTTCATAATTTAATAAATTGTTAACATTTTTTTCCTCGAATGTAGATTTTTAATTTAATAAATATACTCATAGNATTATTACTTCTGTAATCTTATATTTTAATTTTATTGTTTGACAATGCACTTCATGAATTTAAAATATCCTAATCAGTGGCCACAGAGAGAGAGATAAATCCTCCAAAAAATGTCCAAAGTTCTGATCTTTTATTAGTAAATTCAGGGGTGCCTCAAGGGTCGTACTTAGGTCCATATGTAATTAACATGTATGTTAATAATACAACTAAATATTTTCTGACGACGTAACATTTTTTCATTCTGTGAATAATACTCATGATGCCGTGTTATAAGAATATTTATATACTTAAGAAAATGCGGTGATGAAAACAGCTTATACAGGGTGTTTGTAAATAAGTGCGAAATATTTTAGGGGGTGGTTGCCTAAATTATCTTGTGAAAAAAGTTCATATAAACGTAGATCGAAATATGCTTCGTTTCCGAGATACAAAGATTTCAAATTTTATTTTTTTATTTATTTTTAAAAATTTTTTTTCAATTTTTTGCGTTTTTTTTTTCTCGGTCCACGGGCTTGGAAAAATTTTTTACACAAAAATCATGATATGGACTTGATAGCCTGTTCATTCAGCTTTAATTTCTNTTGTAGTTACTTTTTTAGTTTAAAATTAAACACACAATTACATAAATCGAAAATTGTTGGAAAATCTTTGTTTTCACAAAAAAATCACATAAATTTTTTGTTACAAACGCAATTTTTAATGCAATGTGATATTTATAAAAATACGGAGAAGTTTATACTTTGCTCTGCTCGGAACATTCAAAGTTTCCACGCCAATAATTTTTTTATTTTCATGTATACACAAATGTTATCAAAATAAACAAACATATACACATGTATATTATAAATATCCTTGTTTTTAAAATACAAAGTATTACGGTTTAGAAGAATATACAGGGTGTCGCGCTTAAATGTGATACAAGCCTGTAGCTTTCTTTATTTTTTGACCTATTTCAAAAATTTTGTTTTAGAATGTAGGATAAAAAAACTCTACCTAACTGTAATGCTGCTGTTTTCACGAAAGCAATATACAGCCAACTAGGACGCGTTTTTTGACGTCAAAACAGCTAATTGGTATTAGCGATTTTTCTTCCAAAAAAGAGATTACGTATTCTCATTCAACATCCCTTAAAATGTCTTATCACCAAGTTTCATCAAATTCGATACATCTTCAGACGAGCACTATTTGGCCGTGTATTGCTTTAATAAAAAACAGCAGTATCACACTTAGATAGAGTTATTTTTAGCCCACATTCCAAAATAAAAAATTTTGAAATCGACCAAAAGATAAAGAAGTTAGAGACTTGTATCACATTTTAGCGCGACACTCTGTATATTGTTTAATTAATACTTCTATAATCTTATATCTTAATTTTATTATTTGACGATGTGACTGGCACCTCATGAATTTAAAATATCCTAATCAGTGACCACAGAGAGACATAATATCCTCCAAAAAATGTCTAAAGTTCTGATCTTTTATTAGTAACTTCAGGAGTGCCTCAAGGGTCGTATTTAGGTCCTTATGTATTTAACATGTATGTTAATAATTAGAGAGCGGACAATGTGTGACTTTAACCCAAGAATAGGTCAAATTTTGTTAGAGATGTATACGCGTTCAAAAATATATTGTGTATAAACTATGCAAAATATAATTATTATGTATAGCAAATATATCGTATTATCCTCGCGAAGATTTGTACCCTTTATTTAAAATCCATAAATCATGTGAACAGGTTAAATAACGAGAAAATAATTAAGTTAATTTAGTTCTAAAGAAATGAAATGACACTCGCGCCCATCTCTAGTCCATCCGTCGACATCAGTTGCGTTTATCGAATTCCTATTGGTCAGAATTCAAACTGCATCCCTGTTATGAATGGAGTGTGAGTTGGACTATTCTATCATGTGCGTCGCCTGAGGGTATTCGTTACATTGACTCCTAATTTCCAATTAAAAGAACGACACTATTTTTAACCGAACTTTATTTAATAAATATGTAGTATACAATTTCTGATTTTCTAAATATTTTATAACGCCTAAAAATGTATGTACCGTGGAATTTTCGTGAATTATCACGTAAAAATCCGATGCATATCCGACACGCCACTGCGTCATGGATAATGTATCTAGGTTTATGAATGACATATCTATGTTCAAGGTTAAAGACACAAATTGTCCGCTCTCTGATCATCACACATTTATTAGAAACAAAAATCAAATAGTAACACACTTTTCGTGGGCAAATCATACTTTACTGAAAGTAACAAATGTTAGATCTGCGTATTATTTTTGACAGCAGGATGTTCTTTGATTGTCACTATTGACGGATGGTGAAAATTAAAATAGTTATATTTTGATAATGAAGCATGGGACACATACCGTTTAAAGGAGATGATTTCTACACATAGAGAACTTTTATGACGAACGGAATTTGAGAAATAAAAAATTAAAATAAGGCTGCCCACTTTGATATTTCGAAAAGGATTGCACGTATTTGTGAAAAATGTTTTGTTTTTTTTTTTGTAATAAACTGATAGTTGCAAACCAGCTCTTTTTTCATTTTTGGCAAAATTATTTTTTTTTGTAGCTATACTAGTTAAATTTTAATTTGGTACTTGTTATTCTTCAAACTTATCAGTGTTGTAACAATTCGTATCTATCTGTTGATTAAGATGATTCGAGATCCAGGTACGGCAACTCCTAATTTAACTTTTTATTTCGCAAATTCGGTTCGAGATTTTTTTCACCATGAAGGTCCTTTTTTGGACCTAGTAATCATCCCTTAAAAAATGGTTCCTTGTTTTTCTATTAAAATATGACACCACTAATAAAATGTTTGTTTTCTTATGCAAACATTGTATAGAATTTAAAAATGTAAATTTTATTTTATTTATACCATACGCTCACAGTTTCTGAAGTTATGGTTATTGCTATTTTTCTGCTTCAATATATTCTTTGGATAAAGCTCATGAAAAATATTTCTGTAATTTAAACTATTTTTAGGTATTCTTTTGTATAATTATATTATATTTGTATTTTTTCTTTTTTCTCTCTTATATTTGCTTATTAATGTGTTAATTTCTTGTAAATGCTTTTTCAAAACTGGCACTAAAGTGTTATTTTTTAATAAGTGTTGAATCTTCTAAATTAAACCAATTCTTTGTGTTTATAACATATTTGTTTTACAATTAGTCAGTTTTTCTCAATACTAATTTAGATACGATTTTATATACATCCAAAAATTAGCCAAGCACAATACAAGAAATTTCATAGGGTGTGCCTCATTTAAAACAAGAAGGTTAAGTGTGGATATGATAGACAGTTCATGCACCCAATTTTTTTCAAAACCGTTCAACAGAAATAAACATTCCTAATTTCCCATTGAACGATTGTACGAAATACGTGTATTTTACTAACAGTGCAACAATCGCATTTTAATTAATACAAACTCCTCTATTGCAACACGATTGCGCTGAAATAGTTTTCATAGCCACCTAACGAATACGATACCATTTCACTTACATACGGACATTTCCTCATAGCATCGAAGGTCCTGTCATTGTAATTCTATCTATATAAAGCGCGCTAGACATGTCCACTGCATTAGTTTGCCAAACGTACATTCGACAACAAATCTCACCATGAACGCTTTGGTAAGGAGCGATCCAAGTGCTCATAAACTTATAAATGTCTTTTTTTGAGAAATTCTTTGAGAGCGAAGTGATTTTTAAATATTTTTTTTTTCCTTTAAAAAAATGTACGGAAATTTGATCCAGATTAAATACTCCGTTCATTTACTTGCTTGTATAGATTATAGACGTTGATTTTTTAGTGTTTTCAATTATTAATTAAAGAAAAAAGAAGAAATTTATTCCAAAATAAGCACGGTTTTTGATTTTTTTTTTAATATATTCCTTTATTCTTTCTAGATCGCTGCCACCTTCGCCATCTTGGCTGTCTCCGCGTCCGCCGCCCCCTCAGGTCATGGCCTCATCTGGGGAGGCATCAACCCACACGCTTTGAGCCCCATTGGACCATCTGGAATCGTCACCGGACACGGAGCATCTGGACCGTCCGGCGTGGTGACCGGAGCTGGTGCTGCCGGACCTTCTGGAATAGTCACTGGTGCAGGACCCATCGGACCCACTGGACCAGCTGGACATGGCATTGTAGCTGCTGCTCCTCTTATCGCTGCCGCCCCAGTTGTGCATGCCGCCCCATGGGCAGCTGCTGCCTCTCTAGGCGCTATTGGACACGGTGCGTGGGGTCTTGGTGGTCATGGGCTTGGTTTAGGCGCTCATGGTTGGTAAACTACTAGGGGAAGATCTCTAAAATAGGACTGTGTAATATATGTTAGAATTATTGAAAAAATAAAAAAAAATCATTACAATTCTTGTTTTGTTCTTCATTTTTCACAGGGAAATGTGCCAGTGGTAGTTTCGTGGAGACAAATTGCCACATTTAAAAATAAATAGCATCGTGAAGACAAAAGCTGAACATTTTTACAATTTCCTTTGAATTTCTTCAAAGTTAAAATGATATTTTGAATTTTAGTTTTCGAAAATTTTACTGCTTTAATTTTATTAACAATGTTATTACTTGTAGATGTGACGTTAGTTGTAACGAAACATCTTTTAAGAATGGAAAACAATGCGAAAAGAAATATTTCTATTATCTGATTTGAAATTTTCATCAATAAACATTTTATGAATTTGAGATCCATCGAAAATACCTCCATTTTACCATCGCCAATTTCGAGAAATCTATCTCTCTAACACCAATAACATTCAATTTCTTGGTTATAATCTTTAACTTAAACTAATGAAATTATTTCATAAGTTCAACTTAAATTTTATGTGAATTGGAGGAAGAAGTACCTTGTATGGATCTAGCGCTTGAGTAACGTTAAAATGTCCTGGATTCAATTCCCAAGATAACAGTAATGATTTTGAAGACCACAAATTTGGCGCTTTTGCTTTGAATATCATATTTTTTCTTCATACTGTCATATTTGAAGAGTATCACAAGGATCGAATATAAGACCACTATTTTTATTGTATCTATTTTATATCTGTCTCTAAAGTCCAATAATCTGTTTTTTGACTTGAAGCTATTTTTAATCACAACTAGTTAGGAGGATTGTGAAATACTGCAAAAACGGGTAGATGTAGATAGATGGTGTGCAAAGAATCAATTACCTGTTAATATATGGCAAATAATTATAACCTAATATCTTCGCAATGTATGAGTATAGTGGTCTATACTTTGGATAATTTGTTTTCTTTACTTTTTGGTATTGTGAACAAGAACTTAGATATCTATTTTATAGTCTATATATTTGGTATTTGGATGAAGGTGGTGTACAATTTTAGTTAATGTATTACATTATTACACTTGATCATAGTTTGCAATCCGATATTATACATATGATCGATCGTTTCGTCATTTAAAATATGTTTTTTATAAGTTTATCTTATCTTGAAATGACCTTTTTAGTAGTGACGTCACATACGCCAAATAATAGGCAACCCCATAGAAAAATGGCTTCTTTGTCATGACCTTAAATAGTTTGAAACCTCAAGTGACAAACTAATAGAATTATAGAATTTATACAGGGTGGGCCATTAGTGTGAGAAAGTAAAATAATAGTAGTTGAAAGTTAATACAACTTCTTCGAGGTGATGTTTTTTCCAAAATTCGAAGGATTTTCTACATAACTTGGCAACCGCGCATTAAAATGTTAAAATGTTTATATTGCCATATATAGAATTTTCTCAGAAATCCATATGTTTAAAAATATACAGGGTACTCATCGCCCTGTGTTTCAAATTAATTTTGTCCTTTTTTCTGTATTATGAATAACAAGGCAGTTATTTTCCTTTCCCACACTAATGGCCCACCCTGTATATTTAAATTTATAGAACAATATTGACTTCTATAGTACTTAATAAATTAAAATCACATCAATGTTACTGAGCATGCGCATTAAAGATGTAGCCTCGCAACAGTATATCATTCAAGTAAAGTTTGGTTATGATTAAGAGTACGTCTATAATAAACCATTTGAAGAAAGAACACTTGATAAACACACTGACACAGTACAACACCAAGAAAAACAATAACAATACTTAGTAGAACTAGAAAATGCAAAATTAAACAAAACAAGAGAAAATACGCTAATACGATAACATATCAATGAGAGCTCACCTACGTATATGTGATAAATTAATTTGAAATTTGAATTTTGTTCATTTTTATAGTTTCTATGTAAATTGTACACAGGTCAGATTTGGTCTGTACAATTTTCAGGAAATAACTGACCTTTCTGCAGGAATTTTTATGTATGATCTTTATTTTTGACACTATTATAGTGTCTATCATTAAGCTGTTTAAATGACCAATTTATATTCTTCTGTTTTATTAAATTGAAGACGAAAGATTATTCTTGCTTTTATAGGTTTAAAGGGGTGCAATTTTTATCTATTTGTACCATAGCCCTATGTAAAGGGTGTTCTTTATTATGGAAATAGGACCTTAAGGATTCTTATATGTTGTAAGTCTATCAATCCTCTTCCTCCTTTTTCTCTACTTAAGAATATCCTTTCTTTGGATGAATTGTAGTGTAGTTTCCTATTTTTCATTCATTATGTTCTGGTTAATATGATAATGTTTTCTTAGTCTGTTTTGACCCATTTTATTACACCAAATAAGTCTGTAAGGGTTGGAATAACTAAGGTGCTAATGGCTAAACAGGTGTTTGAAATTGGTTTTGAATTAAGCAGCTCTTTTCGCATTGCTGATCAAGATCTTGTTTTGTTGGTGCATGATCCAATTTGTTGTTTTCATAAATCCTATTACACCTAATTCATGTTTTTCCATTTGAGGCACATTTTCGTACTTCCTCAATTTGTTCGAGTTTCCTTTATCACTTTTCTTTACATAATGTCCTACATTTATTAACTATATGAACTATTTAATTATTGTTTTATGGCCCAGTCAATTTAAGCACAAATGACAATGCTTTTTTGTATTAAATTTAACTATTCATAAGTTTTATATGAAAGGTAGCTATAGTGGTACTCTAAAAACTTTTTTGCAATCAGATTTATTATAAATCAGTCAACTTATAAACATTTTCAGTACCTCGCTAAATATAAAATAAAAAAAATAAAAAAGCTAAAACACCAGCATGTACAAAATAATTTATACTTTATTTTCTATATCATACATCCAGCATATACATTTTACAGGTCATCTATACACGAGATTTACCAGCCATGGACGCCCAAACCTAGACCAAGTCTTCCAAGACCGAGACCTCCCAATCCACCGAGTCCTAGAGGTCCGGCGATGATTCCATGTCCAGCGGGTCCAGTGGGTCCAATGGGTCCGGCACCAGTGACGATACCAGCAGGTCCGGCAGCTCCAGCTCCGGTGACGACTCCAGCGGGGCCAGCGGCTCCAGCTCCGGTAACTATTCCGGAAGGTCCTACTGGGCTAAGAGCCCATGGGCTGACGCCGAGTCCGCCCCAGCCTAGACCGGCGTGGATGGAGGCGGAGGCTGTAGAGATGGCCAGGATGGCGAAGAAGGCGACGATCTGGAACATAATTTTTTTATTATATTTTCACTTTCACTAATATGAATTGTTTGTTTGTTATGGTGTAGGTGTGGCACTTGTTTGCGTGACTGTAATAAACGTAAGGCTAATTGGTTTTAAGAAAATGTATCCGACAGAGGCAAAAAATCGAGCGAATACGTTTAATCTAAATCGCTGTGTATTATAATTGCAATAAATAATATTTTAATGTTACTATTTCTCGTCCAGTTTCAATATACATATGTTTTTTCTTAATGTAAATTACGAGTAGCACGTTTAGTTGAAACATGGGAGTGGCATCAGCAAATTATAGAAGCAATAACAATTTTAGTTATTTCTTAACCGTGTACCGAGTGTTGGTTCTAATAGTAACATTCTGTGACAAACTTTGCTTTGATATTCCAGTACCAATTATAACAAAATAGTGCTATAATGTTTGCACCACCACTATAATCTTTATTTCCAATAAAGCTACAAGGAAATCTATTAAAACTTATTTTAAAACGATGTTGTATTTCCATCTTAAATTTTTTATAGAAAAATTATTGGGACAGATCGTGACATGCTTGTAAGAGTTCTCTGTTACATTTATTTGTGACTTCTATGCCTATATTACATTATATTAGTTAGCTAAGTGTTGTTGTTGGTATGCATGTTGGTTGTGAATACCTGTGCAAAACAAATTTACAACAAACACGAATTTCCTTGAAAAACTCGACATTTACAAAAGAATTTTGATCATTTTCAGCAGCAGTCTGACGCAAAAGCTACAATTCCTTGAAAATATTCGTAGAAAATCTATGAAATTTTGAAATTTTATTAATAATTAAAAGATGACGTTTCAATGGTTATAATGCAATGAACAAAACAGTGTGTGGAACTCTGTATTACATATTCAATGAATTGTCTTTCCGTACACCATTCTGCAGTAATTTTTTAAGAAAGGCTATTAAATAAATTTATGTATTAGGTGTAGGTGCGTTGATACTTTAAATGAATTGCAATATAATGTAGCAAAACGCATTTCTATGAGCCTGTGAACCGTGTCGAATTGCATGTGGTTTCACTCCAGATTTATTTCTTTCAAGGTATAAATATTTCAGAACTGAAAAATTATTGCTTACGCTGAAACTTTTAATATTAATATCACGATTTCAGCCTACGCCTAAGTCAAACGAACAGGAAAATGTGTATTTATTACGTTACTTATTGCTATCTGAGGTTAATTACACCATTGATATACAGGGTGATTAAAATTAGAGATCAGCATCATTGAAATAATTTATAACTTTCAGTTTATCGCGATGTTTTGACTGGCCTGTCCACAGCGTTTACAATAAAACATTTGCAGCAGATATCAGCAAGTAAAACCTACTTTATTGTTATCATTGCAGTTAAATTTTCAATAAATTGTAATATTAGAATTGTATTTTCAGAAACCTTAAGTAAACTGTTTGCTATTATTATACATTTTAAAATTTTATAACCAATACAGTTATTTCTCAAAATATTTTCATCTAAATTTTGAATACACTGAAATATGTGTTTAATTAAACATCAAACATAGTAGAAGCTATCTTAGAAATTTTGACAATAGCGCTGAAATTTTGACTGGAAATACAGTAAAGCTGTGCTAGTGCCAATTATTGTATTAGTTTCAGTAAGTTTTGGTACTGGTAACTTTAGAAAACAGCTGAAAAGCTATATTTTTTGCACATTTTGGCATTTTCAGAACTAAAATACATTGAAATATGTGCTTAATTAAATATCAAACATAGTAGAAGCTATCTTAGAAATTTTGACAATAGCGCTGAAATTTTGGCTGAAAATCAGACACGAAAAATAAAACTTAGCTGAAAGCTTTACCGATTCAAATTAATTTAATAATTTCAGTTAATTAATACAGAAACTAGCGATCTATTTCAGGAAATAGCAATACATTTTTTTAATTTTTTGCAGTTATTTCAGCAATTTTCACTGAAAGTCAGTCACACAAGTTGCTAGAAACGGTACGAATTCAAAATTTTAACAATTTCAGTAATTATTGGTACTTTCAGGAAATACCTGAAAACTAATGTATTTTTTTAACGTTTTGGCATTTACTTTAGGAATTTCGGAATTGAAACTGAGTTTTTGAGTGAAAATTTGCAAGAAACGTATCGAATAAGGAAATATATCTTACCAAGGCGTTCATGCTGAAATGTATTGGGTTTTCAGATCTACCACTGGATCAACTGATACCTGCTGAAACGCTTAGGCCTATTTATATAGGCAAAACCGTAAGTAGACGACCTTCGTTACAATACGGAATTATTTGTATTTTTAGTAGAGCGCTATACTTTTCTAACGGCATACAATATGTAAATCGCTGCAGAGTTGCACCATTATAAATGCATTTTTTATGCGTATGCACTTGAAATATTAATAATTTACTACCGATATAGTCACTGTGTGGTATACTTGTGAAAGTGCATTAATAATGAATGCATTGTTGATTGTATAATCAACGTTCGTATGCACTTTTGCTGCATTTTAGAGCTGAAATTTAAAAAGTCACTTAATCGAAAAGTATCGAAAGTTTTCGAACTTTTAATACAGATATTTTTGGAAAATCTTAATTTCCGGATTTCATTATTTTTCATTGCACCATTTCCTCTTAATATTGAGCGTTTTGTCAGTTTTTCTCATTGATAATAATATTACATTTGCCATTGGTAGGTTACATACAAATAACAAATGCGAAAATTAACCACATCAGTTGAATTATCAGTCATCAGAGAAAATGAAATATACAGGGTGTCCAGGAAATGGTGAACAATCTCTCGGATTTGAGTAGGTCACAAGTTTATATTAACTATTTTTTCTTCGGAAGTAAGTATTGTGAACTCATAAAGTTGAAAATTTCTTGTTTCTCATTAAATTCTAATGGTTTCTGTGTAAGAATGTATTTATTTGAACTTATTTGTAATGCTCTTGTCGGTCTTGGTCCATAGAAACAAATTATGGACCCACTTTTTTAATTTCCTTAACTGTTTTTAAGATCTTCATAGTTCCTTAAGTGGAAGGGTTTACTTGTTTGTTATCTTTAAGATAAACAATTTCCGAGACAAAAGTGTTCAGACACAATAATACCATAATACCATGGATAGAAAACTGTCGTTTTGAGGTATAAACAAAAAAATTAAGTTGATGATGGTCCCGGAGAGACGAAACGTTTTTTCAAAATAACTCAAAAGGGATAAGAGCTAGAAAAAAAGTTTCGTATAAAAGTTGTAGAGCAAAAAATTCTACATAGATAAAAATGGTCTATTGACTTTTTCTTGTACTATTAAAATTAACAGAGTTAGGGTGGCTAGAAGTTAAGGGTTGATTTCAGAAATTTAAAAAATCATAATAAGCTGAAAAATGAATGAATTTTATAATCTTTTTTTTTTCAATCTACTCTAAAAAATGTAAACTCTCTTTTCAGAGAAATAAATATATTTCTTAATTTTTAATAAAATTTTTTTAATAGTTAATTTTTATGATTTAACTCTAAAACAATTTTTTTCTATACCATTTGATTGATTATTTAAAATAATGAAAAGTTGCTTTCGAAATTTTGTTTTACGACAAATATAAAAAATCATGTTCGCTTTGTGAAATTATTATAAGATTCTATTAAAAATTAAAAAAATATATCTATTTCTCTGAAAAGCTAGTTTAGATAGATTTTTTTAGAGTAGATTGAAAAAAAATTATAAAATTGATTCATTTTTCTGCTTGTTATGATTTTTTAAATTTCTGAAATGATCCTCTAACTTCTAGTCTCCCTAACTCTGTTAATTTTAGGAGTATAAGAATAAAGTCAATAGACCATTTTTATGTAGAATTTTATGCTCTACAAACTTTTTTTCTATAGCTCTTACCCCTTGAGTGATCTTGAAAAACCCCTTTATTTTATCTCTTTTCACCCATGACCTGGGGTTGAAAAGAAAATTACTGTCACTTATTGTTATTATATACCTCAAACTAACTTATATCAAAAATTCAGGCAAGTTGACCAAAATTGCTAGTTAAAGGCTCATTTAATTGGACTATAAGACAACTGCTGCACATACGGAAAATTGCGTACGCTACTATAAACATAATCACACCCTGTAGAATGCTTTTAGGAAACTACTAACACGGGGTTTAATCACAATTATTGACTATCTTTATAAATTTGCTGCACAAAACAGGAAAGGTACATTTTCTGATATTTACATGTTCATTTCCCGGATTGATCTACTTGTTCTATCATCGTCTTACTAAAAGTACGATTTCTTGTATATAATACGTCAGTCTTAAGCAAACAATTGCTCAGTAATAGTTTTAAAGTCAAATTTTAATTGTTCTAGATACATTTTTGAGGGCAATTTGAGTGAGATTTCACTTACTTTATTTTATAGAGCGCATATCATGTATCAGTTAAATAAGTTCCAGTTTATTTCCAGTTTGAAAATTGTACTGTGTGTACCTTAATTTGCCTGCCAAACTTCTACAGGGTCTTCCTTGGTCACAATTAAGACAGTTAAAAAAAAATCAACTAGAGGTCAATTTCTACTCCATACGAAGATTTATCAGCTGAAGGAAAAGTAATTAAGTAAAATAAAAGGTATTTGAGCTATTTGAATTAGTTTTGAACGAAGAAAACCTTGAAAAAATTTGGCAGTTGAATTAAAAACACCCTGTAGACAACTGAACCCTTGTTTCATCGCAATCAGAAAGTGCAATTTTTTAACATGGACTTGTTTACGAAATCGTTGTCGATGAGTATTATATTCAGTTTATTGAAAAAAATCTGTATAAAGTTTTATCTTAAGATACTCAGTTCTTCTACTGAATAACAATATAATATAAAGAACACAAGTAGGCGGGTGAGGGTGTGAAACAAAATTTTCTTAGACTCCTCCGCAACTGCATGGAGGTAGAATAGAATTATGTTCAAACATCTACCCAGAAATTAAGTTAGTTTATTCTGAAGTTTGTTTTTTGTAAAATAAACAATATCTCATCTGTATTTATTGTAAACTTCTAGAAATACGGTAAATTTAGAGTTGCTGGCACTTATAATCAGCATTTTTAAATAATAAATGCATTACTATTCATTAAATTTTATTCTATGAGAGTTCTTAGGTGAGGCAAATTTCTTTTTGGACGTAATATCTCACAGATTTCTAAGTATTTGCTAACTTTTGCTTGCACTTAATATTGCCATAGATATGAAGTTTTTCTAGTAATAATATATTTTTTTTTTAGGTTGTGAAATATCTCTTTTGTATCGAAGAATGGAGAGAATTTTATGAGCGCCAATAATAAAAAAAAATCATTTAAGAATAAAAGAACTACGCAATCATGTGCATCAAACTATATTTTTTTCGAAAACTGCTTGGCTTGGAAGTATTACCAAAATGGGAATGGGAGAGAAAAAGTATTTACATTTACGATAAATTAATTTGACATGGTAGAAATATGGATCTAGCAGATTCTAGTATGGCATAGATCATAGTAGGCGAGCGGTTCACNTTGTTTACGAAATCGTTGTCGATGAGTATTATATTCAGTTTATTGAAAAAAAAATCTGTATAAAGTTTTATCTTAAGATACTCAGTTCTTCTACTGAATAACAATATAATATAAAGAACACAAGTAGGCGGGTGAGGGTGTGAAACAAAATTTTCTTAGACTCCTCCGCAACTGCATGGAGGTAGAATAGAATTATGTTCAAACATCTACCCAGAAATTAAGTTAGTTTATTCTGAAGTTTGTTTTTTGTAAAATAAACAATATCTCATCTGTATTTATTGTAAACTTCTAGAAATACGGTAAATTTAGAGTTGCTGGCACTTATAATCAGCATTTTTAAATAATAAATGCATTACTATTCATTAAATTTTATTCTATGAGAGTTCTTAGGTGAGGCAAATTTCTTTTTGGACGTAATATCTCACAGATTTCTAAGTATTTGCTAACTTTTGCTTGCACTTAATATTGCCATAGATATGAAGTTTTTCTAGTAATAATATATTTTTTTTTTAGGTTGTGAAATATCTCTTTTGTATCGAAGAATGGAGAGAATTTTATGAGCGCCAATGATAAAAAAAATTATTTAAGAATAAAAGAACTACGCAATCATGTGCATCAAACTATATTTTTTTCGAAAACTGCTTGGCTTGGAAGTATTACCAAAATGGGAATGGGAGAGAAAAAGTATTTACATTTACGATAAATTAATTTGACATGGTAGAAATATGGATCTAGCAGATTCTAGTATGGCATAGATCATAGTAGGCGAGCGGTTCACCCCTAAAAAGAGGCATGAACCGACTAAATTTTTAAAACAAAAACCTAGAGGATGACACTTTTTTTATTTTATAAAGTGTATTTTTCTGATAATTTACATATTTTTATAATATTTTTCGGCGTGGTCAGTCAATTGTTATCAACAAAAAAGTTGTAAAAAAATTACTCGCCGAATGGCTTTGATAACAGTAAAATGGACCAAAATAAATACTTTTTGTTCTTTGACAAAAATTCGAAAATTGCTTCGTTTCCGAGATATTTACAATTTAAGAGTTTTTTTACTCGCTTTACCTTCAATAAAATAATTGACCCATACCAAAAAAATATATCTTAAATAAGAAAATTTGCCGATTATTATGCTTTTTTATAATTAAAATCTGTTCAATAGTTTTTGAGAAAAAAATTCCGAAAGTTTGTCGATTTCGTCACTTTTTCACATTAAATTGTAAATATCTCAGAAACGAAGAATTTTTAGAATTTTTATCAAAGAACAAAAAGTGTTTATTTTGATCCATTTTACAATGAAAAACTGTTTTTAAAGCCATTCGGCGAGTAATTTTTTTTACAACTTTTTGTTTATAATTGACTGACCCCGCCGAAAAATATAAAAAAATATGTAAATTACCAGAAAAATACACTTTATAAAATAAAAAATTTCGTGCTGTAGGTTTTTGTTTTAAAAATTTAGTCAGTTACCTTCATTTAGAAGCATCTTTTTAAGGGTGAACCGCTCGCCTATAGAACAAAGCATCAATTGTCATTTGACTCTGGACTCCATATTTGTTATACTTGAAGTGTTAAGAAATTCGGTGCATGTTAAGGAAAAAGTAGGGCTAAAATATGACGCCTGACTTTCTAAATATGAATAAAGTGGAAAGCGAAATAGATTTCTCGAGTGTTTAAGAATATTTGCTTTTTTAAGTTTCGAAAGTAGCAACAACCTTAAAATGTGACGCACTGAAAATAG